AGATATAGTAGTTAAAATGAATTAAAACTTCATTTGAGTGTAACTGTCTTGTAATGTTTTGCAGGATCTTCATTTATACTCATCGAAGAATGGCCATTACCGCTGACGACGTATCCCTTGAGGACATTGTACCCATCTCCCTCGACTTTGCTGTAGTTGAAGGTGAACATCAGAGCATTTATGTATTTTCCCCTCATCTCAAATAAATGGTGTGTAACTGTAGCAATGTGTTTGAACTGAAAATTGATATGACAAGTACTACCTTGAAGTTACCCAACAAACTTCTTGTGCTACACTCCCTTTTCAGTTTCCTCACCAGAGGAACTTGTGGTCGTGGGTGAGCTGACCTAATTTCCTTCACAGTTTCAGCTATAAAATGCCACAAGACTGATCCACCACATGAAAAAGAACATTTTGTTTCCTTTGTTTGCACCCTGACAATAGGTGCCGATACTAGAGTAAGGATAAGCTTCAAGGACCAAGAGCTGGAGCTCAGACTTCCGTTCGGGTCACATTCACGTGTCTTCCTGGGTGAAGTCAACAAGGCGTGGAGTGGTAAGTTGGACCAAATGTACTCTGCTCACATGATGTGTGGTTTTTGAAAAATCCTGGACCCTGTGAAAGTCGAGATTCGTTGGTACCAGCTACTAATAGGACAGCAGCATCTACATGGACACTGGTGCGTGGGTTTAGTAGTCTTTAGATTTTATTTTCTGTTCAAAGAAAAAGGCACCAATCTGCCACAAATAATCGCCTCTAACCATCTGTCTGGAGGAAACCTGTTCAGCCAGACTTCAGTTGCTTTGATGTCATAAACATAAAATATCTTTGTTTTCCACACTTTACACTAGACCTCGCTAAAAATTAAAAAGCTAATAAAAAAACCACAAATGCATTCGTAGGACCTCATGCAGCTTTTACACCGAGCTACAAACTGGTGGTGCCGCGTCACCTGTCACTCACCGTGCTCACATGATGCAATGGTTGACTAAAAAGGCGAGATACAATCAGACAGAGAGAGAGAAGGGTGGGGTTTGGATCGTCTGAGTTTAGTTTGTCTCTTCCATAGCGAGCGTTTTTTTGAAGGACAAGATAACAATTTAACCAGGAGTAATTACTTCCTGTCCGGTACTTATCTCGAACTACTTTTTTTTTTACAGTCTGCTTTCGGTGCATCTGAATGGAATGGCAATCGAAAGGTTGAAAGACAGTCTGCTTTTTTGGGGATTTGTTACTGTCGCCATTGGCTCACTGTGTTCACAGTGGAAGCCCCATGTACACATGGATTGATATGTTGTTTGTGGTGCTCCGAGTTGAGCCACAACAGCTTTTAACTTGCTGAGGGAGACCAGTGATGGCAAGAAAAAATGACCTGGCTTCTGTTATTGTGAAAAGTCTGAGAAATGGTAAAGGTAAGCAGATAGAAGAAAGTAAAGAGGCGGTGTTACAGATATGGAGGACAAACAAGAATTAGAATATTGCTGCTTAAATTATTTCTATTCTAATTCTTTAACACATTGCATTCTTCTGTACACTCTTACCTTCCCTGTTCTTCTTAGGTCCCACTTCTGCCTAAAAAAAAAAAACCCAGGAGAAACAGTAAAGCTCTTCTCACAGTCTTCACTCACACAATATACATTCACACGTGTTTTCTTCTCTCTCCCTGCCGGTCTTCCTCCAGATGTTTGCAGGTCTCCCACGCAGGCACCCACGTTTGAGTGGATCAGCAAGTACCACAAAGGCACCAGAGGCCAGGGAGTTGTCAAACAAGCCATCGCACCCCTCGGCACAACACTCACTAAACTCAGCCAGCATCGTAAAACAGGTTTGTCATCTTGTGCTATTTGAAGTAGGTGACAGGCAGCGTCACCATATACCCCCCCCAAAAAAATTCACTGAATGCAAATAGGTCTGGATGACAGGAAGTACTTCTTGTCTGCGGTGTTTAATGTTTTTTGGCATCAAAAGATTGCATCACAATTCTGCGCGACTTTGCAAATGCCACATCCTTTGAATGCAACTGGTTTAGCTTGTGCTTGAGTTGTAATGACAGACATTAGGACATAGACATAGATGCAACAAATATCATTAATTGGTTTCTATTACATGTAAGTGTCTTATTGAGAGCGTGGCAACAGCAGGGTAAGGGGCCAATTAGATTAAATTGTTTGGATTATTAATAACACGTTGTTCCTGTTGTGACATGGAAACAAGAGTAAGATGAAAAATAAATAAATAAAATTGTTGTATTTGCACATGTTAATTAATGGAGGAGTTCGTTTCACACTGTTTGGATTGTAACTTCAAAATAAAATCATAAGTACATAAAGAAACCAAACAAAGGAGGCTTTTAAAAGCACAGCGTCTACTTCCTATGAAGCAATTAAACAATATACACAGATGAGGCCACCGCATATAAAGTGAGAATCCATTTGAGATGTTTGAGTCATGAAGTTTGTGCACTGTATCTTCATCTTGATGCCCCATTTCATGCAAACTTCATGCATCATTATGTTTCTGCATGCTGCATCACAGTCATGTGGATGTTGACACGCATGCAAAACGCCTAATGTCCATATACAAATCACTTCATTAGTCCTATTCAGGACTTTCATGTTGCCATACGTAGGCGGTCTATCGGCGTCACCGAGATAGAATATGTACAAAATATTTGTTGGTATTTATTATAGACTTTTATACTATGTTAAATAATTTTTCTGATAAGTTGATGTATTTTTGGTTCCAAATGCATGACAAATCTCTCTTTTTATATTAAAAAAAATCTTCAAAAATAATTTTTAAAAAACAATACATATAGTTAAAATGACCCTTACAGGATGGCATCAAAGGTTGTGTTTGAAATCAGAATCAGAATCAGCTTTAATGGCCAAGTGTGTACACAACATACAAGGAATTTGGTTTCGGCTGTTGGTGTCACCCTAGGAATTTGCACGAATAATAGAAATAGGAAAATAAAAAAATAAAATAAAGTAAAATAACTAAAGAAAGAGAAGAATAAGATACAATAAATATTAATAAAAAATAAAACAAGATAATAAGACAAATATATACAAGAATTTACACATCTAGTAGAAAAAGGTATATGTACATTAGTGCAAAATGGAAGTGTTGGCCATCCAAATATCATAGTTTTACAAACAGAAAGACAAAATGAAGAGTTCATTTGCAAAAACAGGTAACTCAATTTTTGTAGCTTTTCAGAAAACTTATTTTTTGTTGTTGTTTGCTTGAAATAAAATCAATCAAACTGAAGCTGAGTGGATTTGACTCAGTAGAAATGACAAAAATAACTTTAATTGACATTGTCTCAGGCAGACGATGGAAAAGTAGGTTTTCTGAAGGTTTGTGAAGATGGAGTTCTCAAATACATTTCCTTCTTAGAGTGCGTCTTGAAGAGCTTGACTTCCTACTACGTTATTGACGTAAGGCAGCATTTCCGGTTACACTTAGCGCACAGTACATTGTTTTCTTTGCGTCTCTGCAGCAGGAGCATGTAAACTCCTCCTACTATAGCGTTTGAACGGGCAGGTCTGAAACTGACTGGACATTGATCTTGCGAACAGAATGCGTGGGAGCGGCTCAGGGAAATGTCTAGGGTGATGAGAGACTCGGGTATGAAAAAATATTCCTGACTTCATTTGCTCAAGTTTCAGGTGGCGGAATGAAACGGCGACGCGTAAACTCCCAGCAGCTGTGATTAGCTAGCTTCCTGTGCTAATGCTAGCGTAGTTTTTTAATTTGGAAGAGGCTAACTTTAGCTAGCGAGAGAGGGCTCGTCGGGCGGAATAGTGGTTCATTTTGAAAATCCTCGCAGAGGCATTAATGTCGTCTGCTGTTGCCTCGTATTAAAGCTACCGCGAGTTTTACGTAGACGATAAAAAACCACCGAATGCTAATGCTAACTAAATAGCGTATCAGTGGTCTCTATGTGTCAGAGAGTGACACACCTGTTGTGATTGGTTTAATGACACACCGTTGCTGCTGTTTCCTGAGTCACTGTTTTTGCCTCAGTTCTTTGGCAATTTGCTCTTTTATTGTCTGTTTTTTGTTGTTGTTGTTGTCAGATAGACCCATTTTTCACTTGCATCCTCTTGGCTAAACTAGCCCGTTAGCTTAAATCAGTTGACTGTAAACTTTCCTCCATCCGCCTCTCAGGGAGATTAAGGTGTTTACTGTCTGCTTTGCTTTTAAAACACAGACCTCTGTTTCATTAAGCTCCAACAGATCCAGGTGTTTGGTTGTGGAAAGATCAACTACAGAACTGTAAATCCACAATTGAGAGTGAAGACAAATAATTAATTCTGTACTTAATAGTGGAGGATCATGGAGGGACGTTGTGTAATACTGAACTTTGTGCAGCTGTAATTAAAAAAAGAAGCTGTTTTAATACGGAAGAGTCTGCCATCTGATAGAGCAGGTTGACATTTGTGCTGACTGGTGATAAACCACAGATAGAGAGGCACAAGTGTGTGAAACTGCACTTGGTCAGAGTTTGTGCAGCTACTTTGTCAGTGGTTGTGAGTTTTTTTTAAGCTCTTAAGCTGGTTAAAGATACTAAAAGCATGTGCAGGAATTTAAAATATGCCTTCTATTAACTCACACACACGGGACCCTGGTGGTGTCAGGGCCTCGTTTAGGTACCAGTTACAAATAGTAGTTTCAGTGTAGGTAGGGTTTACCAAACCTAAGTGGTGGATGACTCGTAAAGAACATCAAATTAAATCCGGAAGCAGCTTTTGAAAAAGTAGCCCCAAAAAAAGTGATCTCTTTTCCACGAGACATGTTTTCAGCAGGGTGCTTGAATTTAGTGTCGCCAAAACCTTTGTTTGATTGTCGATCTAAGATGTTATGCATGTGTTTGTATGCTTTCTGCTAATAGCTACAATTTGTCCATTTATAGCAAGCTTTAAAATTTTAATTCTGCTTTTGCAAGCTTCCTCTATTTTTGCAATAAGTATTCAAAACCATTTACCACTGCAGCTGCACTCTAATGATTCTCCTTTTATCAGTCGGCACTATCGTTACGCCCCAATGAATAATACTTTGCATTACTCGTGTATATGTTAACTTTAAAAGGCAGACTTTGAAAGCCACATGTTGGTTTTCTGTGTCCACGCAAGAAGATTTTCACCTTCTCAGTTGTGGCATTCCTAAAGCACACTGTTCAAACGAAATTTCACAGTTTGCTGAAAGTTTTCTCAGTCAAACAAAGAGCTTTTTCTTCTTTATACAAACAACAAAGTGACTGTTTTTTTTTTTACTTCAAATGTCAGTGGGTTTAAAGAAAAAGAAAAAAGGTGCTTAAAGTTGATCTAGCTTAAAAGTCTTCGTGTTTTTTTGTTCTTTATGATATGAAACAAACCTTAAACAAACCGTGTTTACCTACAGGTTAGATCACAGTCTGTTCTTCTAATAAAAGTAGGGTGATGGAAATATTTCCTTTTTTGAAATTGAGATGCAGGAAAAAAAACAACGTTGTCAGTGATAGACTTTAATGCTGCAATCAACAGTCATACCTTTCCTAACAGAAACTGTGATGCTGGGATTGTTTGGTTCACACTTATTTTGACTCTAACTGCTTCTTAAATGTGGCTATTTTTCATTTCACAGCTTTATAACGGTTCTGATTCCCTAAATTACTTCTGTCATATTTAGTTTTTTATTATGATGATGTAATATTTAGTTTTAATGTCCATTCTGTTGATATCCAGTTGTGAATGTCAGTGTATGTGTCTTGCATGCTGCACACTGACACATCAGAAAACTTTGGCTTTTAGGTTGCCAATTAGAAGTAAAGTCTCTTATTTTTACCTCATCTTTTGGGTCATCCTTGCACCCCTGTCTGTCAGGCGCTGTCTTAATGTAGCGTGCTATGATTTTATAGAGTTTAATTTCCTGCTCAAAGAAGCTGGCTTTCCCTTTCAGTGGAGCCAGCTGTGTTCGCTGCCAAGCTGCAGGAGACAGGGGCCATGCTGTCTCATGCTTCACACTCAGCCATTAAATCCAGCTACTTAGGATGCAATAACTGCAACCAACTGCAAAAGGCAGCCTTAGCTGATTAAAAGCTACAAATGAGCCCTGACTTGGCATTTTTATGTTTGTTTTTATTCTGCATCACAATTAGCTTCACTTTTTTTTTTCCTCAATTGCAGCTATATGAATGCTGAGATGTTGGTTTGCTAATGGATGGATTTTTATCACAATGAGTTGCCCAGGCTCTCAATACCTTGAGCATATTGTAGGATAATGTAGTCGGTGGTTAGCACCGTTGCCTCGCAGCAAGAAGGTCGCTGGTTCGTGTCCCGGTGTGGACACCCGGGATCTTTCTGCGTGGAGTTTGCATGTTCTCCCCGTGCAGCGTGGGTTCTCTCCGGGTTCTCCGGCTTCCTCCCACACAGTCCAAAAACATGTTGAGGTTAATTGGTGATTCTAAATTGTCCGTAGGTGCGAATGTGAGTGTGTTTGGTTGTCTGTCTCTAAGTGTAGCCCTGTGATAGACTGGTGACCTGTCCAGGGTGTCCCCTGTCTTCACCCTGAGTCAGCTGGGATAGACTAGTGCGACCCTAGTGAGGATCAAGCGGTGTATAGATAATGGATGGGTGTATAGATAATGCTTGGATGGATAGTTGGGAAGGTCTCCCTGCAGTTGTCATTGCACAGTGAAGCATTCGTTGCAACCTTAACTAGCACCTTGTAAGCAAGCTGCTAATTTGTTGATGCTAGTGGACATTTTGCAGAACAATCCTGTGATTTTTTAATTTGTGCTTGATCTCTCTTGCTTTTCCCGAACAGAGAAATCATCCGACAAAAAGGGAACTTTAGAAAAGGAGAAAGGGTCTAACAGTGGCACACAGAAGTCCAGAGGGTTTTCCAGCCAAGAAAGGTAAGGTCTTTTAATTCGCTGACATGTGGAAGCTCTCAAAGTGGTAGCAGGAGAGTGCTCTTGTACTAAAGTAGACATTACTGTTAACGACATCCTGTGACATTTTCACTGTTGCTCATCAAATGTTGGTTAATTAAGACAAATGATCTGATTTTGCTTAAAATTTCAAACCTGCAGCTTTTACCTGTCAGCTGTAACCTTCTGTCCGCCTTTGATTTGTGCGTTCTTGTCTTTCTTGATGCATTACTGCGACCTGTAAGTCAGTAGAGTTGTGTTAACAGTTTGGCTGAGGGGTGCACTATGAAGTAAGTTTGACAAGTTTTCTTTGCGTAGGCCAGCGCAACAAATTCTAAAACCTCAGTCAGAGATAATAGGTATCATGATGATGGTTATCAATGTTCTGTGTTAACCCAGCTTCCTCTTCTTCATGCACAAAATCAACTGATCTTGTGCCACCTACTTTAGTCAAGAGGAAAGGGTCGTTGTAATGGAGAACTATGAAGAATATAAACATTTATTACAGTCAAAAGTGCTGGTCGAAAACTGTTAATCATGTGAGTTATTGTATCTTCCCTGCTCACTGTTTGTGACATGACAGCTGCAAATTAGAGCTGGTAGACTTTAAGCTTCATTCATTTAAACATGATATTACAGAAGAGCATTTAGGTCTGACACTGTCCTGTAACTATCTGTGGTAAATGCCAATAGATTGATCAAATTTGTCACGTGTGTCCCATTAGCTACAGCACCAGCAGTGTGAAGCAGTCTTGGCAACGTATCAGGACCAAGCATAAAAACATGATTATACGTTTTCTGCGTCACCATCTGAACGCGTGTAGGTAGCACGGCTTTGTTTAGTGCAAATACAAATGCACAGGTCTGCAGGTATAACATATTTCCTTGGCTGTGGATTTATGGTGCTTTTAGAGAATTGTCGGGAAACTAACTGGTGAAAGGGAGACACTGTAAATCCCGGACTTTGAACACATCCGTCTCCAGAGCAGGTTAACTGTGCAGCGTTCGTTAACATGATGATCTTGTCGGATTCAAAGAGAGACATGTGTGCTGCACTTAACACGAACCCACTCATAAATACAATGTTCTTTGTTAAAACATGTGGTCTAAACTCCACATGGTATTTTTAATGTTGCTGAACGGAAATATTACAACAGCTATTTAAAGGTGACTATTTAAACACATATGTGAACCATGTACATGTACCCATGCATGTTAAGTATTGGTGATCCGCTCTTGATGTTTAAACCAATAACAACCTTGTGACAGAATGAAAATGAATGTCGCTAACTTTTGGCCAGTTTTACCGACGATTTTGTGGAATATGGTCTATCGTTAAAAAAAAGTCATCCTACAGAAATCACTCTGTTTTTTTTTCTTTTTTCAATATACAGAACCTAGGCTTATAGATAACTCAATTTGAATACTTTTCTTATTTTCCATAACTCCATTTGAGTTCTCCCCGTGCAGCGTGGGTTCTCTCCGGGTTCTCCGGCTTCCACAAGGTCCAAAAACATGTTGAGGTTAATTGGTGATTCTAAATTGTCCGTAGGTGTGAATGTGAGTGTCATTGGTTGTCTGTCTCTAAGTGTAGCCCTGTGATAGACTGGTGACCTGTCCAGAGTGTCCCCTGCCTTTGCCTTAAGTGAGCTGGGATAGACTCCAGCCCCCCACGACCCTAGTGAGGATTAAGCGGTGTATAGATGATGGATCGATGGATAGTGTTCTTGAATGTGTGTTTGTGACTGCTTCACTGTGCCACGTAACAGGAATAACAAGATGTCCTTATCCAAGTATGTCCCAGTGAGATCTGATAAACTTCTACGTTCTTGTTGTCGTAACAGCCTCGATGGAACGATGACAAATAGGGGAAATACATCAGACGAGTAGACACTTGATTGCTTACTAAGAATGCATGTGTGGATATTAGCAAAAAACACATCTTTTTGCCAACTTAAACCTTCCTGAATCCTCAAAGGAGTGTGGAAGGCATCAAAAGAAAAAAAAATGGCAATAGCGTAATAGAGTATTACGAGCTTAACTTTTCAACTTTGCTGAGCTTGAAACGCTTGTGTTTTACGCTGTAACCTGGCATCCTCACTGTAACCACTTTGATATGTTTCAGTCAAGTTTAACAAAACAGATAATGTGTCGTTTATCTGACACAAAACTGCTTCATCTGGAGGTTGATGAGTACCAGCGTGTAAATTTGTTAGGTTCAGTTGTTTACGCTGGAAGCCACTGCTGCCACTCTTGGAATGAATGCCTTTATTTTAAGCTGGAGTTTATTTACAGCATATTCCTGGAGGATTACAGGGTCCAGGCATATTACATTTCGTCTTCTCCCCTCAGCCTCATTCCATATTGACGACATGGAAATAGAGCTTCGCTGCATAGCCGGGGTTCCTGTTCCAGTGGATCTACTATACATCAGGCAGACATTACGAGGCGTTAATTTTATTTCTTGCTTTTAGCAGGATATATAACTTGACGTAGTTAGGCCAGGGGAAGTCTGAGTATTACCTGGCATCTATACAGTACAAACACGGGTTTAATGATCACACTCATATTTGTCCCCCTCTGAAATCACACCACTCTGACAAAACGATTCTATCTTGGTCTGTCTCCACTCACGCCTCACTGTTACTTCTATCTCATTTCCAGTCGAGAGGAGCGGGATGACCTGGTGCGCTCGTCCAGCCACACCCCGTCGAACAAAGCTCAGATACTGGCCATGCCGCAGTTTGGCCTGCGTGACAACCTTATCAGGTGTGAGCTGCTGAAAAATGAGGACCTGTACACATATCTGGAGCACTTCAGGTATGTTGCTCGAGTTTTGACCCGTTTTTAAAAAAAGTGTTTGGCAGATTAGTGAAGGTCAACAGATACATGTGATGCTAAAATAATTTAATATCGTATAAATATATTCATAAATCTTTAGGATTCCTTGATGATAGTGATGTGTTTTATACTTTGGATGACGTTTTAAATGTTTTCGTCCCTGTTTGATCCATTCCAGTGGAGTGTGATATGATCTTTGGCTGTTCATTTTGTTGCCTACAACAGTAAAGGAAGTTGTTTAACTTAGCGTATTAAAATATTTAAAATCAAGAAAGCCTAACATTTAACCCTTACCAATATACAGCTATATCAAAACTCTTTTTTTAAACCTCACACCACTGCATTATAGCGATTTGCTGTCCAGATCTACATGGAAAACTGTAAAGAAAACAATGTAAAGTTTCTAATTTAGGGCATAAGTCTGAATATTTGCACACCATTGCTGCATTAAGCTGCAATCTACTGATAAGTCCAGCGTCAAGAAGTTTCTAAAAATGTGTCAGAAAGATGGTTTATGCAGGAACAGCGTGCCCCCACAATGTAACTGTGAGCACAGTTTGGTTCTTAGAAGTGTTATGTAAAAAGAATGAGTCAACATCTGTGGGTTTGTATTTCTGGCCACTAAATTAAGATCCACTGTCTCAGACGGTGTCTACTAATGCACCACCTAGAGCGTAGTCATACTATAGTCCTTCCTGCCATTCCTTTGTAATTATAGCATTGTGAGATATATACGTTTTATTAAGGGTTTCTTTTCACTGCTACCAGATGAGAGGAAAATGTGTATTTGCTGAACTCAGCATAGTGGTTTACTCAGTGACTACGCTGCCTCCTGTTGGTAGATCTGTGTACTCATGTGATGAACATAGCAAACACTTTACAGGAGCATAGATGCATGGAAATGGATTTTAAATATGAGAAAAATATCATAAACTGTGACTCAAAGAAATTAAAATTGAAATATTTAAGAACATGTACAAATATAAATGACCTGCAGTGTAAAGTTCCCTATAGATATCATCAGTGTCACTATTAATATCACTAGTTTTTATTATTGATTAATTATTATTCATGTTTACTGCCACCTCTCATGTTATAGTCTGATCCCCAGTTCTTTCTCTGTGGAATTAACGTTTTGGCACCAATTCCCTTCCTCTTCCTCCTACACATCTGGTTAATTGAAACTCGGAATTGTGTTTGAGTCTAAAAGTGTTTGTGACCAGCTCAGAAGCTCCGAGGCGTTTCCCAACCTTTTCCACAAAGCATGTTTGGAAGACTCCTGTCTCTGCAAAAAAGACAGAAGTAGTTAAAAATATATGGAGAAAGGCATATTCAGAATTTATACATTTCTATGAAAAGAACTTGTCATTTACATGCTAATTGGGTTGCATGCTTAAACTGTTGGCCCTACTAGAAATAGCAGACGCAACAGATAAAGCTGTATTATGCTGGAACAAATGCTGGGTCATACTGTCGTGAACGCTGCACTAAATATCCACGCTGATTTGCAGATTAGGAATAAAAGCTTAGGAATGCAGCAGTCCAAAATCTTTGCGTAAATACAACTTCAGCATCTTTCTGGTTAGCTGATTCTAGGCCCATTAGGACAGAAAGTGTTGTACAGTGAGATGGCCGTCAGCACAAAATATAGAGCTCCATGCTGCCTTTGCAAAAAAAAAAAAAGGCCTGTGCAAAAACAGCAGCTGTCTGAAGGTCAGAGACGAGAATATTGAATGGAAGGAAGGTGGTTTTCAATTTGGACCAGCAGAATAAATCTCAGTGTGGATTTTAAATGCCAAGGGTTGGACCATTACACAATTTCTCACAACAGAGATGCCCTTCAGCAATGCATTTAGGTTACACTGGGGCTGCTCAGTGGGCAGCAGATAAGGTGTTTGTTTTCTTTACTGTGACTTTGTACTTTATACAGTTGTAGGTATAACGGTGTATGTTTTATGTTTTAGAATTACAATATTCTCAACTTTTCATTCAAGAGTCAGGATTTCGCTTTCACTTCCCCCTTTTTTGAGTTTCACTGCTAAATTATTCATGTTCAGCTCTAACATAAAGCTTTTGTTTGGGCAGGTGGTACAGAGTCGTGTCCTCACTGGTCTCCGGCTTTTTGCATGTCAGGCAATGATGAGGGATCTGTGCTATTTAAGTTACTTACTTCTAATTTTGTCTTTTTTATTATGTAGTTATCTCCCCGTGCAGTGTGGGTTCTCTCCAGGTTCTCTGGTTCCTCCCACACAGTCCAAAAACACATTGAGGTTAATTGGTGATTCTAAATTCTCCATAGATGTGAATGTGAGTGTGCTTGGTTGTCTGTCTCTAAGTGTAGCCCTGTGATAGACTGGTGACCTGTCCAGGGTGTCCCCTGCCTTCACCCTGAGTCAGCTGGGATAGACTCCAGCCCCCCGCGACACTAGTAAGGATTAAGCGATGTATAGATAATGGATGGATTATGTAGTTATGTTAGGCCACTATTAACTTTCCTTACGTGACACTTAAAACGAGTTCACTCGTCTGTGGGGACCTCTTGGAGGATGTGGTATTGCTATCGTCACTGACTTACTGTCATCAGTAGTTTGCTGCTATGAGCCTGTAGTTCCAAAACAGAGAAAACAAAAGCATCACACCTATTGTGGTGAAACCAAAGAAAGACGCACATCACAGTTGTCACAGCAATCTCATGTTGGTGTCCATGCAACCTCAATGCATTCAATGATCTGGCCAGACATAAGCCAGTAGAGAGTGTCACAACTACTCACCACATTCCTTGTCTAGCTGTATATGTAGAGGCATTTTAATGTATATAACCAGCCTTGTATTTGTATCTCTGATACAAGTGGAAAATAAATAGAGCGACAACACTCTGGGTGGCTGGCTGCTACTCAAGAAGCTGCCGACCAATGAGGACACAAGCCTTTAACACCTGCCCACACAAGTGCTTCGTGTCAGCGTTGACACTGAAAAATTCAGCAGGGAATTTGTAAGAAGTGGTGGTAAGAGGGGCAATTCTGATCAGTGAGGCAAAAGTAAGGGATAATGAAATGATGTGCCTCTTCTGTTGTTTTCATACCTTTTGCTTTTGAGGTAAATTCTTTGATTTTAGACAACTTGTTTTACCTAAAAATGTTTTTGTTTGCTATTTGTGAGATTTTGTTATTTTGAAATTCCATAATTGAGAGTAAATGAGTCAGAAAAAACTATTTCTGACAAAGAGCCCGTGTGGTCATTCAACGTACTTCAAATATAATTTCTAGACATGAGCCACTGCACGCTGCAGTACAGCAGCAAGACAGTTCTAGATCATGGTAGTTTCTCTATTTCAGCCTCCTAAACTAGAAATCACAGAGAAGGCAGTGGTTGCGCTATAGCCCCTCAAACTCAAATATTCTATTTATTGTTGAAAGAAACTCTAACTGTATTTTTCTCCTTTGTGCCCGCTTCTCATCTTTCCCCATACTGCTTTAGCTTTTTTCTTGGCACATACAACGTGAATGGACAGACACCAAAAGAAAGCCTCCGGCCTTGGCTGGGCTGCACTCTCAACCCTCCTGACATATACTGCGTGGGGTAAGTTACATTCACTCTGCTGAAGAATAGCTTTGCAGTTTCCTGCTTAATCCCATTACAAAGACATATACTGCTCCAACCCTCTGACAGATGCATGCAGCCATTGAACCAGTTCTAAGTACAGAACATGCCCACCCACAGATTTCAGCACTGTGCGTCCACTAATCCTGCCTACGTTTCAGTGTACTGCTTTGGGGTTAAGGAGTGAAAAAGTTTCGTAAATAACACAGCAATTCTGGATACAGTGGGAATCTTAACTCTTAGTAAGTTTTTTTTTGTCCTTGCTTATAGTTTTCAGGAGCTTGATCTCAGCAAAGAGGCTTTCTTCTTCAATGACACCCCCAAAGAGCAGGAGTGGACAAAGGCCGTGTTCGAGGCCTTGCATCCAGAAGCCAAGTATGCCTTCGTAAGGAAGTTTTTTGTTTTTTTTCTTAAATCTTCTTCTTAGATTCTGCTTTTGCCAATTACACTTTAACACAGTTTCAAGAGACTGATACCGTAGACACTGTACACTAACAGCATAGTGTTAAGACCCTCGTGCACCTTCAGTCTATGAGCACGGTAACTGCCATACCATCACATTATATTATATGGATTATTACCCTCAATATACAGTTATTATATCTGTGAGCTTGCTGAGTTTAGTCAGACTATGTATTTAGTATGTATGTTCCTTTTTGGTTCATCTCTTTTTCTTTCTCCTTCTTCACTTTCATCTACTTCTCTGCTCTCTGAGTGCTGACTCTGTCTTATTAGCTTCCTCATTTGTCGGCCTCGGTGGTTTATTTGAGTCATCTTAGGCTTTGCAGGGTGTCTGTAAGTCACACTATAATCGTGTCATTTCTTCATCCACTGTTGGTGTGAAGACGAAAGCACACTTGGCTGATCTGTTATTGACACTCTGTAGCTCAGCGAGCTGAGAAATAAATGTTTTTGCATTTGTATGTGAATGTTGATTCATGTAGGATTGACAGGGAGGCTTATCAAACTATTTTGCTTCCTCCCATGCACTAGTGCCTCATGCTTTCAAATGTATATTTCAGCTTCTGTTTTCCTTGAGATAAGACGGGGGTGAAAATAAATGTCTTCAGCTGCACAGCTGCTCTCTTTTTAAAAATTCATTTTCTTACTCATTTAGACTCAGGTGTGGGATTGGGTTCATTTCAAAGTAACGTCTCCCTAGAAGTAAAACTGAAATATGAAGTTGAAAGTGAGCAAGAGTAATGTGAAACCCAGACACTGTGGTTAAAAAGCAAAAAAAGATGCTGATATAAGCAGCAAAAACTGCATTAAAGCACTTTAGAGTGTGTCGTGGCTACAAGGTTTCTTGATCTTCACTGTGAGCACACGTCGAGTAAAAATGTTCAGCAAATTACACAACCCATTTCTCTGTGAACTGAAGTGTACCTGTTCCCTTAACTGCATCGCCCCTTATTTGTAAACCACTCATCTGCTGCTACAGGTGAAGTTGGTGCGTCTGGTGGGCATCATGCTGATCTTCTATGTGAAGAAGGAACATGCAGAGTTCATCTCTGACGTGGAGACTGAGACTGTGGGCACTGGCATCATGGGAAGGATGGTGAGGACTCTTTCTTTCATGCACAGGTTATCATGTAGGTTGTTGGTATTGTGTAAAGATTGTATGTTAGAAATGGTGCTGAGCTGGGGTCACAGCTTCAGGTATATTGATGTTTCTACTGCATGATGATAGGCCTGTATTATGTTGTCAGTGATATGATAAATCCTTCAAATGTTTCAAAGGCTTCTACTGTTTTTAGAAAGAAACCTTGCAGGGTCAGCTTTGTATAATGTCATTGCCACTGTTTTCAGTTTTACATCAGTTGCGTTTGTATTTCCATCGTATTAAAATACACACAAGAAGAAGCTTTATTGTCACTATGCAAGAGATACAACGAACTTTCATTTGGCATCATCTCTGCAGCAGCTTATTTGCTCACAGTCTTAGAAAAAAAGTTAAAAAAAAGTGATATGAATAATAAAATAGCAATAAAATATAACAAATACTCTATTGAAAGTGCAAAAAAGCCTTTGTTATAATGAAAGTGTCATGGTTCCTGCAGCAGTCTCTCCACAGCCACGGGGGAAAAGTTGTGTTTTAGTCTGTTGGTACAGGCTCTCATGGGTGGTAAATAGAGTGTCCTGGGTGGGTAAGGTCATTCCGGATCTACGTGGCCCATCAGAGGAGACGACTCAAGTAGATCTCCTCTAGGTGTGGAAGTGGGGAGCCGATGATCCACTGAGCCGTCTCGATGACCCGCTGAAGTTGTGTCCTCTTCGATGCTGTGCTGTACATCCACAGGACAGGACACTCTCTATTGTGCTGCGGTAACAGTTTTTCAGCAGAGGAGGAGGGAGTTTGTTCCTTCTCAGCGTTCTGAGAAAGAAGAGACGCTGCTGGGCCTTTTTGACAATGTGGGTGTGGGTTCACAGTCCAGCCCACATCCTCTGAGATGTGCAGTCAGAGAAACGTACAGTTCGTGACCCGCTCCACTTCTTCCCCATTGATGCTCAGGCCTGAGTGCAATGTGGTCCTCGACTTCCACAAGCCAATGCAAAAAGTATGAAATTAGTATCAACAGCACCTTTACACGTCAACATTAAAGTACTGCAGCAGATGAAAAATGAAACGCTTCTACATTAACAGTAGTAGTAACTTCAGGTAGATCGTAAAAGATAATAACATGCAGATGGTGTGTAAATGTCAGAACCTTCCCGACTTCCTTCTTTGGACTTCTGCGCTTATTTGTTTTTTTGCAGCAGTGCATTCAGTAGCTCCAACTTTGTTCCTCATCGACCGTTGCAGGATACCTTATTCTTGTCTCGTATGCAACCATGCTTACTTAGCAGTCCCTGCAGTGTAGAACAGATGGCTGGCTGGTGACCAGTGGGAGCCTTTGTAAGGCTGCTCCATCCTGCATAAAAAGGCTGCATCATGCACCTCGAGGCATGTTAAGTGTTTTGCATTATAGTCGAACAGAAGATCAACAGCTATACAAAACAGTAATTCTTTTTTTTTTTTTAGGGGTGTTTAGTTGATTAACACTGGATGACTGGATTCTTCTCTCTCTGTTCCTCTTTGTTTCTTATTCACAGGGAAACAAGGGTGCTGTGGCAATCCGTTTTCGTTTTCACAACTCGGACATCTGCGTGGTCAACTCTCACTTAGCTGCCCACATAGAAGAGTACGAGAGACGCAATCAAGACTATAAGGACATTTGCAGTCGTCTCCAGTTTCGCCAGAATGACCCCACCCAGCCTCCGCTCACGATCATGAAGCACAAGTGCGTAGCCAATGAGAGATTATAGATTTACAATGTGATTGAGATGGATTTGAAGGTTTTGCAAGCAAATATGTATGTATAGGTATTATGCCACTAGATCATACATCGCACAGTAAGATCTGATGACTAAGAGTTTGTCATGAAATCCTTTAATCCCAAAAAGTATTGGCTGCCATTCTGTATTCAAATTCAGTCATGTTTACATTCATGTTTAGGATTAATTGCTCTACATGTTGCTGCTGAGTATGATATCGCAGGAAGAACACATATACAGGCTATCTCCATATTTATGCTTCTGTTTCTCTGTAATTCTTCCATCAGTGTGATTTTATGGATTGGGGATCTCAACTACAGAATCACTGACCTTGACGTTGACAAGGTGAAAGAGCTAATCAGCAAGAAAGACTTTGAAACGCTGCACAGCTATGATCAGGTAATGTTTTTCCCGTATTCTATTTAAATACTCATTACTCATCATTTGCATTTGATTGGTGATATTTACCAGCCGCATATGATCTTTAGCTCAAGAAGCAGATCGATGAGGAGGCCGTGTTTGAGGGCTTTGAGGAGGGTGAGATTGATTTCCAGCCCACCTACAAATACGACACTGGCTCTGACAAGTGGGACACAAGGTAATAGAAGAACGCAACGCTTTTTGGAAGAGCAGTCTTCAATAATGTTGTTAGAATATTGTCGTAGATTAGTTGTAGCAACTGGACTTGTTAGGGCGACTCTAACGAATGCCATAGTGGCAGGGGGAGCGCTAACGACTCACATAACGCGGGGGAGGAGCAACAAACCCCCAATTGAAACCAAAACTCAGGTGTTAGTGGCTTCTAAAGGATATAAGTATCTGAACTCCCAACTAGTCAGTCAGAACTGATGAAGCCTCTTGGATGAGAGGTGGAACGTCTTCAAGGAACTCAAGCAAGTCCAGTTGCTATGATTAATCTACGAGAATAACCATGACCTGGATGACTGAGAATCTTCACAGACTTGTTAGAATAATTTCAGAAAGAAGTAGTAGAATGTAGTTTCATTGTTGAGCTTCCAGCAGTTTGTGTTGCATCACATTTTTTTTGCAGCCGTTCAACTCATCCCAGAAATGTTTCTCTGTTAAGATGTTTCATTCTGTCTCAGCAGATAAATATTTAATGGAATCTTTTTAAATTACAAACAAACAAAATCTCTGCGTTTACAGAGCTGCTGAACTCACAGTTTTATCAGAGTACTCACACTAAGACACCACAGTTGCATTATCATGAGGTTTAGGGTTGAATACTGCAGTAATGCAAATATAATTCAGAGGGGACTTGCCTGGTCAGTAAATGGAGTCAGCTATGTACAGCACAGGTATCATGTTCAGAAGCTGCTACAGCAAGCGCTAATTTGCACTGGTGGTCTTAATAAATATAATTTAGCCACCAAGCTGCGCTATTAATTAACGTTGTCATCAAACATGGCTCACAGTTTGTGGTGAAACAGCACTGTCTGGTATTTTGTGTCTCACACCACCTAACAACGAATTTTCCCCGCAGGGATCATTAACTCGGATCAATTATGCACAAATACACTACAGCACAGATGTAATCTTTAAATACCGTGTGTAGCAGAAGTTGTAACACACATTTTGGGAATTAATAAATAAACACTGGCCTTTTTCTCTGCATTTTAGCGAAAAGTGTCGCGTCCCCGCGTGGTGCGACCGCATCCTGTGGAGAGGAAAGAACATCGACCAGAAGCACTACCAGAGTCATATGGCTCTGAAGACCAGCGACCACAAACCTGTCAGCTCCCTGCTCGTCATTGGGGTAAATGATTCAGCTTTCTGACTTAATAATAATACATTTATTTTGTATAGCGCTTTTCAAGATACTCAAAGTCGCCTAACAGGGTATAAGATAAAAACAGGAACAAAACAAGTTGAATAAAAAGCAGATAAAAAACAAGGACAGAAGAAAATAAAAACATAAAACAGTTAAACATTAAAAGCAATCATGAAAAGGTGAGTTTTTAAAAGGGACTTGAACGTGTGGAGGTCAGAACAGTGTCAGATGTGAGATGGAAGGTGAGTTCCAGCAGCAGAAAAGGTTCTGTCCCCCCCAGGTTTGGTGCTTGGTCCTTTGTGGTGGGGCGAGGAGGTGAGCAGAGGAGGAACGAAGGCTGCAGGAAGGCGTGTGGGGCTAGATGATGGAGGGCTTTGTGGGGGAGGAGGAGGAGGATCTTGCATGTGATGCATTGTTTGACAGGGAACCAGTGGAGATATTGGAGGACGGGGGTGATGTGATCACGTGAGCGGGTGTGGGTGAGGAGACGGGCGGCAGAGTTTTGAATAAGCTAAAGTTTTTTTTTGAGGAGTTTGGAGGGTAAACCATAGAGGAGGCTATTGCAGTAGTCCAGTCTGGAGGTGATGAAGGCTTGGATGAGTGTTTCAGCTGCAGGGAGGGTGAGAGATGGTTTTTCAGATGGAAAAAGGCCGTTTTTGTGACCTGTTTGATATGTTGTTCAAAAGTGAGGTTGGTGTCGAAGGTTGCGGGTGTGAGAGGAGGGAGTCAAGGATGAATTTCCAATGGTGAGGCAGAAGTGATGGATGGACTGGGTGAGGGATTTGGGGCCGATGAACATGAGGTCGGTTTGATCACAGTTCAGTTGAAGGTAGTTGGTTTGCATCCAGGCTTTTATTTCTCGCTTTGGTTTCTCCTTTGAAAAGGTCGTATTGTCAACCGTTAGAAACTCATGCGTAGGTCTGAGCAGAGGCACAATAATATTTGACTTTATCTGCTTAATTCATGTCAGATCTCTTCTATTTGTTTTGAAAAGGCTTTATATGTCATTTTACGTAGAGTCTGATGTGTAAACTGCAATGATTCTTTGCTTCTTCCAGATCAAGAGAGTAAATGGTGACGCCTACAAGAAGACTTTTGAAGAGATTGTGCGCAACATAGACAAAATGGAGAACGAATGTATTCCGTCTGTAACCTTGTCCAAGAGAGAGGTAAAATTTTCTACCACTTTGCATCTCATTATAGTGTAATTAGAGCTGTGATACCTTTCTGATACATGAAATTGGCGTCGCGCTGTCGTGCTGATGTACTCCAAGTGTAACCCATCAGTAATGAAGATGTGTGTTTTTTTTTTAGCCTAATGCAGTAATTTAAAGGCATCACAACAGTTTTCATCTTGCCTCATAAATCTCTGTTGTTTCAGTTCCACTTTGAGGATGTGAAGTTCATGCAGCACCAGGCAGAAACGCTAAGCCTCTTCAATGATGGGCAGGTCCCATGTCAGTTTGAGTTTATCCAGAAGCCAAACGAGCCCACATACTGCAAGCCTTGGCTCACAGCCAATCCCTCCAAAGGCTTCATCGCTCAGGGTAAGAGACACAGTCACAATTTGATATAGGAGTCATAGGTTTCAGCCTAATGAAACATCAATCCCCTGCCTGCAACCCAAAATATTTTGAGTTTGAGATATCGTTTATTTAGATTTACAGTATGAGACTTTTATTGCCTAGCGAGATGAATATTTATTCCAGAGTATTGATGGTGCTTCATAAATCGTCAAACAGTGCTGTCTCAGTAATTGTTTGTTGCAAGTACAACATAACTGACTGGAGCAACCCCCCCTTTTAAATTTCTTCATGGATCTCTCTCATTTTTTAGGTGGCTCTGCAGACATTGAGCTTGAGGTTTTTGTAAACCGCTCGACAGCACCTGAACTCAATTCTGGCACGCAACAGATCGAAGACATCCTGGTGCTCCACCTGGAGCGGGGCAAAGACTACTTCATCTCCGTGACAGGCAACTACCTGCCGAGCTGCTATGGCACCTCTCTTCACTCATTGTGTCAGCTCAGAGAGCCCATCCAAGACATGCCACAAGAGACCCTCCGTGAACTGGTTAGTGGGCCGTTGAAATACACCTTCTTCATTTGTTGTAGGCTCACAGGCTTCAGCATCTTGTTGGTTGTTGGACTGTTTAATTTATTCAACTAAACTGCTTTTGCTTGCTGTGTTTGTTCTCAACATCAGGCTGAAATGTCTGGAACGGAGAATGCAGCGAACACTGAAAAGCCTCTTGACATTCCTAAAGAGCTTTGGATGATGGTGGATCACTTGTTCCGCAATGCGATCAAACAGGTGAGAAAAACTAGAAGATAATGCTGCTGTATTAAAACCAAATAACACAGCACTGATTGATTTTGGACTGGGGAGTTTTCATGTGAATTGCTCAAACCCTGGCTTCCTCACAACTTATTGCTTAGAAGCATAAATATATAATAAAAAAAATGTGCAGGCTGCAGGAATTAAGCAAAAATCAATGTTAGTGTTTTTGAAGCTGCAAAAAAACTGACTCTGTAGTGATACCTGCCACCAAGGTAACTTTGTGTAGTTTTATTTGCTCAAGAGATTTAATCTTCATTCTGGTCATTTTTAGCAAAGATTGATGCACTGAAATACAGAAATTAGGTCCATTGCAGCTCCACTGTGCCTCAGACTTTAAGACTTTTTTTCAATCACAGGGAATCTGTTCTCGTAAAAGACACCAAGAATCTAAATGTGTTGTCTTTTGTTTGCAGGAAGACATATTTCAGCAACCAGGGCTCCGGAGTGAATTTGCAGAAATAAGGGACTGCCTTGACACAGGGATGCCAGATTCCCTCCGTATCCTTCAAATCAATTCCAATGATGAGAATAAGTGGGAAAATGATCATATAGAATATTTAAAGTCGCACATTGTGGTCTGTACATGTATTTTGTTATTACCTTATATGGTCATTACCTTACAGTAAAGCCTTAATATATTGGGTTTGAAAGGAAAATGAATTCAAGAAGTCTGGAATTAATCATTTTCTTCACTTGAGACTTGGTTTAGATAGTCAGAGATAGTTTAAGGTGTTTCATTTTTATTTTTCAAGACAACATTTCACCAATCTAAGGGGAAACTTTAAACACCCACAAATCTTTACATTCACCACATTTTCTGCTGTAACAAACATTTATGTAGCATATTTCACAAACAAACCTGCAACATGCTTTACAATAAAACTCATACAAACCAGAACTTAAGGCGTAAACAAGGTAAAAATGACAAATAAATGCAACAGCTGTTAGACTGAAATAGATGCAGAGGACTTCATTTAACAGTGAAGTTTCCTAGTTTGGGAAAACGTGCTGTTTGGCTGCAGCTTCGACATTTGTAAGTGAGCAACAGACAAGAAATGCCACAGAATAGTTCATTTTTCTCTCCGAAAAAGAAAGAAAATTTGACTTCTAGTAATGGAAGCCATCGAGCTTCACATCTGTGTGTCGGATGAACACTGTTGGATTTATCAACCTTTTAATACCCCATCAGTCAAACTGCCTCTCCTCCTCCTATGCACACAGTTTAAACAGTACAGCAGGGTAAAGACACAAGCATTTGCTGCACAGTTCAATTGATAAGGATACAAACTGTCAGATTAAAGCAGAAGGTCAGCTTTTCACACTCATAATTGTTGGTTCTGTTCCCTGGGTGGTGTCTAACTACTACTCTGTATTTCTGTCTGATGGTTAACTTGTTCTTTTGAAAGACTTCTGGGATTTAACATCATATTTGACTCATATTTGGTACTTCTACTTTTGAAAAACATGCCGACTCTGCTCAAGAACTACAACCTTGACTCTGTATTAACCTGCAGCGGGCAGTAACCACTCAGTGGCCGAGGCCTTGCTTCTCTTCTTAGATGCCCTGCCAGAGCCTGTGGTTCCGTACTCTTTTTACCAGCAGTGCCTAGAATGCTGCTCCAATGCCAGCCAGTGTGAGAAAGTAAGTGAGGCAGTCAGTCACTGAATCCCATTATTCAGCTCCAAGATTTGTTGAATTATAAATGTTAATCTGTGGCTTCTTTTTGTCTGCAGATTGTTTCCATGCTACCTCAGTGCCATAAAAACGTGTTCAACTATTTAGCTGCCTTTCTCCGTGAGCTATTGAAGAATTCTGCAAGCAATCGATTAGACGTCAGCATCTTAGGTAAGAGAAAGGAAGCAGGTTGATCTATGTATGAATGTGTTATAATCCGCTGCTTTGTGCTTAAGTCAACATACTGCACTGGAATGTAAAAATGCATGAAAATCCTGTTTAGTAGTATTTTGTTTTGACGACCTTTTCATGGCTTAATGTAAAGCAGCCTGTGCCCTAACCTACACTGTCGAAATAGATGTTTAACAAAATTCCACAAAAAATATCGTTTATTCCACTGATTTTTTTATTGTTATTATTTTCTCTCTGACATTTCTTGAAATGCACAGAAAAGTTAAACTGTTTATAAAATTCGTACAGAATTCCGACCTGAGAAGAGATACTGTTTGTTGCATCATGCCAGATTGCCAATTTTGCTTTACTATGAATAATTTATTTTCTTTACACATAGTCACCATCTTTGCCTCCTTGCTACTGAGGTCATCGACAAAGCAGGATCTTGCCGAGAAGAGGAAGACTCAGGAGTTCTTTCAGCACTTCCTGACCCAAGGCTCCTCTTAGACGGAGAACTCGTCCTTCTCGCTGAACACTAAAAGCTGTAAAGTCCAGTATTTGAAATAAACTGTAATGAATTCTGATATTTCCAGATGGCTCTTTGTATAGTTATATAGTATAATTATGTAAGCGATGGTTCTTATTTGATATTAATTTCAAAATAATGTTTGTGATCTATCGATGCACAGAGTTTATTGTATATTATTGAACATCTGTAGAAGCCTAACAGTTTTTAATGTATGTATATTTTATTTAAAAGAATAATTTGTATTTTAATGTTTCTGATTTCAACAGCATATTGTTTTTTCTATATAAAACTGTTGGAAACGAGGCGTGTGTGTGTCACTGGTGATTTTTAAATCAAATTTTATTATTCACAGTAAAAAAAAAAAAAAAAAAAAACAAAAAAAAACAAAAAAAAAGAGAGCAAAAAACCAACCCGACAAATAATTTGCGGCACAAAGAAAGCCACATAAAAAAAAAAAAGAAAAAAAAAAGTGTGTTGATGTAACATTAGTGATATTTAATTTCCCATAATTCCTCACGAATGGCTGTGACGTTGTATGGTATCCTAGGGAGGGGATAGGAAGAAAGTGCTCAACATCCACAGCAAAAGGGATAAGGCATACATTTAACAAAGGTAAATATATTTTTATGTCATTTATTTTTAGTAGATTAACTTAAGCGCCAACCTGACAGCTTGCTACTTGATAACATTAACCGTGTTATCCTTTTTGCAGGACATAGGTAATGTCAATTCGATAGTAAACGCTGCTAGCTAGCTTAGCTTAGCTGCGAGCTAAATTGTTGCTACCTAGCAGTGCATGTGTAGAGACATAACTGGTATTTGATTTCGCTATTACTAACTAAACCAGCGTTTATTTCGCTGCCTTTGACTCACGGGTAAAAGGCAAAGATGCTGCTGTTATGTCGACTCTATTATCGTGTCTCATAGCGCTAAAATAAAAAAGACTTACGATTTCAAAATCATATAGCAGCAGCTAGCTAGCGACATACCTCTGAGGCTAGCAGCGATGTGATCGAGATGTACTCAGTGAAATATCAGATCAGCAAACGACCTGCGGCTGGTTACACAGCTGGGTTACGGTGTGCGGATGACAATTTTAGCACCGTGGCATTAAGTTAGGAGTAACGTTTCTGCCTTGTCAGTCAAACGTCGTTAACTTTGCAGTCACTGGGTGTGTGTGTGTGAGTGAGGCCAATGTGTTTGTAAACGGCGCAGCACTTGTCAACGTTAGCTACCCGTTTCCAGTGTCGGAAAAGTTAAGTGACATTGTCGTCCGAGTGGAGCACCTTTCACACGCTTACACACGAGTTTTTTCTTATCGGGAGCAGTTTGTAAAGGAGCGGAGTTCACCAAGTTGGTATAGTTATTTAGCTGAGTTTAGCCCGCTGCCGTCTCGTGACTTCTGTCATTGGAAACAGAAAGTTCTAGATCCTGATGTGTAGTTTTGTTTTCTTTAATGAGGGCTAACGTGTCTCATCGGCCCAGGACTTGTTAAGGAGCATTCAGTGGTAGTCTCTGTTGGAAATGTGCAAATTTCTTTTTGGCGTAGAGTTGATCGTACGCACGTTGGCGTTTAGCATCGTGGAAAAGCCCTTTCACCAATATCTGAGGCTCTGTCAGTCAGGGGTGGGAAGTTGCCCCTGGCTGTCGGGGCAGATCCTGGCCATGTCAGCAGGGCTTTCTAGGAGTGTTTCAATAGAGCACGTGTTCTATTGGGTGCTTTTATTTTTTGAATGAAGTGGACTTATTTGTTCTGCTGCCATCCAAACTCCAATGATTGATTTAAACTGAAAATCTGCCTCAACTATTTATTTTTCCTCTATAAAGACTTTTATGTTTGGCACTGCTTTTCATTTAGTGACACTTTAAAGCAGAACTAATTGCCTCATCGCTGAAATGTGCTGTACAAGCAAATGTCTCTTTACTGGAATGAAGTAACTTCTTTGCTAAGAAATGACAAAAATGATTCATTGTTTTCAGGGTGAAAAACATCGACAGTGTGCGTGTACGGTCCTCCCTGCCAAGGAGGGAGAGGCACCAGGGACCATGAGTGAGAATGGCCCTCATACGGAGGCGCCTATGTACTTTGAGGTCGAGGTGGATCACCTGGAGCGGGACGATGAAGAAGAAGACGACAAGATCCACTTTGACAAAGACGATGACCTGATCGCTGAGCCTTCGTCGTCCACCGGTCGGGTGTACGACCGCACCACGGTGCTCATTGAGCGGGACCCCATCCGTCTGGATGAGGAGGGTGAAGAGGAGGGTCACTGTGGAGGGGATGAAGACGGAGTCACCTTCCTGACCGAAGGGGAGGGCGATGGAGACGAGGAGGAGGGCTCGCTTACCTTTATGGCAGACCCTGATGGGATGTCACAGGGTTATGTGCATCACACGATTTCTCCAGACCAGATCCAGTTCACAATAAACCCAGGCTCCACCCCCATGCCACGCAACATAGAGGGGGCTACGCTTACCCTGCACTCTGAGTGCCCAGAGACCAAGCAGAGAGAGGTGAGCATAATTAAGTGCATCTCTTCCCATTGTACATTATATACTGCTGATGAAATGTGTACAATATGCCTGTTGGCTTACGAGGGCTCTTATGAGTATTTTTAGAGTATTGCATGGCTATGCTTGGTTACTGCTGAGGTAATTGCTTGCTTTTGTTTGTGAAAGCTCTTCCAGCTAATTGCTCAACAGAACAGCAGATGGTTTAAAGATTTTTCTGACACGTCTAATTGTCTTACAGACTGTGAGATGCATAGTGTCACATTTAAGCATGCTTCTTAAACTTGCTGTTTGCTGCTCAAATTCAAAATGAGATTGCAGATATGTCAACGCGCTGCAGGGTTTTTCATGATAACATTTGCCATCAGTTTGGTCCTGGTGGCTCTTGTGGCTTAAGCAGAAGTTACCATCTCACTTCTCCAAACGGCATCCGAACCTAATTAGTGAACAATACAGTAAACTGTTCAGATAGAAGGCGTGCACTGGTTAAGCAGCTGGTCCAACAAAGAGGCAGGTTGCAGAAACACATCAGAGAACAACTTAATGCTCTGTCAACAGTTCAATCCTGTATTCAGTCAGGGTTTTTAGAAATGATATATGCTATATGTAGTTATTATGTCAGACACATCAAAGCAAGATTATTTACTAGATGTCTCAACATCTGTTTTCACACTCGATAATAAACGTGACCCACAACAGTTTATATCAGAGAAACATAAGCACAGAAGAAACTGTTTTGTGTATGCGTCCTAAAATTTAGTGTGCACATTCAGAACAACTACTCAGTACAGTAATAGAAACCTGTTGGTTCTCTTTTATTGTGAAATATTTTGGGCTTTCTATCTGTAAGTAATAAGAAAACAGACAATATTTCCAACAGGACTACAAAATGTAAATGTTTTGTGGACACAGAGTCATAAGAAAAGGATATGCTTTTGTTTTTTCAGGGAAAATAAGTTGTTGACATGAGTTTGAGGGCAGATTTATGTGTTTGTGAAGTAATGTGCTTGTAGGTCTTTGTAAGCTATAAACATCACTAAACAAACAAAATATTAAACATGACGTGAATGCGTGAGATAGAAAGTGAACATGAAAGTGTACTGGGGATTTCCAGTATTTGTTGGCGTTAGAGCTGTACGCCAAGCCCTGTGTGTTTGTTTCTTAAGCTGACATAAGGTTGGATCGTCTTCGGTGCTGTCGTCGTGTTTGCATTGTCGTTTGGAGGTGTTCAGTGAACACGTCCATCCATCCATTATCTATACACCGCTAAATCCTCACTAGGGTCGCAGGGAGTGAACACGTGCTGTTGTTAAAACATTCGGACTTAATTTATCCTCACATTGTTTCTGATCGCTCCTATAGTCCCCCCCACACATTGCCCCACCACCCAGACATCCCCAGCTCGATAGGACAGTTCAGTACTCCCACTATTTGCACTTTCTTATATTTTCACTTTATTGTATATAATGCTTTGTGTATATAGTACTTTGTTTAAATTATTTTTATTTCTAGTATTCTTATTTTTATTCTTATTTGCACTGCTGCTATTGTCGTGTTCTTCCACACAAGTTTCGTTGTACTTCTGCACAATGACAATAAAGTCTCTTTATCTTTATCTTTATCTAAAATGAATTTCCATAAGGACATTAATATTAATAAAATTCCCCTAAATGGAAGTGCACAAGCTGGAAAACTGAAGAAACAACTAACAAAATAAAGCTGCGTCTTGCTGCTTTTTCAAATATTATTTCGAAGTTTGCACATAAAACTAGCAGTGTGTACTGTATCATATACAATATGTTCAACAGGTGTTAAAGTCTAATGATGATTACCATCGAGCGATTAGTGATATTGCCTTGGTTTGACATAACCATATAATGTTTAATGGATTGGTCTTTTCCACTGTGCATGTGGGAGGCCAATGCATACAATCTCTGTCACAGTGATCGAACTGATGGTGTAGAAGGGTCACGATGTTGTGGGAGAACAATATGGTTCTGAGCTGCTAGCTTTATCAGGCTTCCACGGTGGCTTTGCATGGATATTTGCTTAACAAATGATCTCTCCCACGTACTAATATAAAAATGAATGGCTTCAGATAACCCATCACTGAGATTAATGTTTGCCAGGAAGACTAAAAGCTTTATCAACTGTGCATTGTGGTTATTGTATAAATAGCTGAGCTGATTGTGTTACTAGGTGTGTTGGAGTAGATGTTCTGAAGTTAAGACCTGAGACGGCAAGGTTGTGTGATTTGAACGGGTTATATGATTATTCCACTGATACAGCAAGTCAGTTGTTAGGCTTTTATGCAAATTGTAAAACAGTTATCTTTTTTTATAAGACCTCTAAGATGACCAGGATGGGAAATTACAGGGATTATTCCAGCTAAGAAAGGGGATTCTCTTGTCAGTGGGCCAACCACAAGCTTACTCCTTCTGGCTTTGTGTTCAGTACACGATAGCATTTTTCTAAGAAGAGAATGGGCTGCTTTCATTCACATTGCCCCAGGGTGACTGAATGAGAGGAGAGAAGAGCAGGAGCCACACTGCAATGGACATTGGTCCTGTGAAACAGAATTGGATGGGATGTATTGCATGGGGGGTTAGTCATCATTGCTGTCCTTTATGCTCACCCGCTTCATGTGCTGATGGCTGGCTGAGTCACCGAGTTCAAGTCCCCCCCGAAAGGTCACAATGATTCAGGCTGTCACTTCATCATATGGCTAGGCTGGTCACTTCTGAGCTGAAATAACACATTTCTCCCATCAAAAAAGGTTAAAGGCACTTTAATGTAATTTTAAGAGCGATGCTGTGATCCTTTTTCTTAGGCTCAGGATGATAACTCATGGAGTTGAACTGATCTGACCACATTTGTCTCCTACCAGGTGAAGCGCTACCAGTGCACATTTGAAGGCTGCACAAGGACGTACAGCACGGCAGGAAACCTGCGGACACACCAGAAGACACACCGGGGCGAGTACACATTCGTGTGTAATCAGCAGGGCTGTGGAAAGGCCTTCCTCACCTCGTACAGCCTCAAAATCCACGTGCGTGTCCACACCAAGGAGAAGCCGTTTGAGTGTGACGTGCAAGGCTGTGAAAAGGCCTTCAACACGCTGTACAGGTGAGGCTTCGCACATCTGTGTTGTGTTGTTTGAATTGTTCCTGTTTTTACAGTGCTGTGAGAACTGTAAAAAATCATTACTGTAGGTTCTGTTTACAGTATTTTGTTGTTGTTTGGACATTGGGAATTGATTGGGAGTTGCACTAAAGGCAAAATAAATCAGTATCAGTAAAGTATACAGTTATGTCAGGATATAAAGCCTTGTTGTGCTCATGTCCTGCACTGCAGTGAGCAGTGGATGTTCAACCTTTGAAGTGAATGTGTCAGCTTACAAAATTACTGCATATAATTCAATGAGTAATTTTCTCATTCTCATATAGAAGTGTTTTGTATCTTGGCTTTTTTTTCTCTGACAGTAGTTTATATTTTCGAGTGTATTTCTTTTAGTATTGATGTTTCAGATCTGTCTATATTATTCAAAGAATAGGTGCAATAATGCACAACGTGTAACAATATAGGATCAAATCCTTTAATGGCACAACAAGAAAAAGCAGAACATTGTAATCTCAAGATCCTGTGTCCTTTATGTTCTCCCTCTTTAAGTGATAGTTTTCCTCTAATTACCCGTTCTCCTTAAATGAAACTACCCGATTAATCCACACACAACCTGGGAACGCAGTGCCGCTAACAAAAGACTGACTCACAAGAAAGACTCACACTTTAGATTAAGGGCTAAACCTTCTGTCTGAGATTTCTTTAAGAGTGATACTGCAGTGTAGTTCCAGTTCTTACTTAACAAAAAGAGCATATTTTTTGACAAAAGTAGGCCAAAGTGCAATTTTCGGGGCTGACCATAAGAGGGAGAATGTGAAAAGTGTCACAGCAGATGCCTTGACACTTTAGTATAGCAGCTTTGACAGATTATTAGAGCCAGTCTGATATGACTCCATTAAGATAAGAAACAAACCCAACCAGTCTGTTGAGTATCTATTTGACCAAAGCCAGACATTTTAAGAATTCTTAGCATTTTAACCATTTAGATTTTGCTGTGATTTCAAGCAGGCTGGTTTGTATTGTTTCCGTTACTATGACAACATGTCTGGGACCTGGTGGAACTTTGCAATCAGCATCAACTCCCTGTCAGAGGCTGTTGCTCAAAGCAGCCAGCCAGTACTGTACATGATTAGATTGTCTTTTTAATACCTTTACTTTCTTCCATTCCACTCAGAGCCTCATATTCTATCAACGCTGACTTTTTTCGTATGCTTTCTAGACCCTCGAAAATTAAGTGCAACAGGAATCGACACATGCTGTTTAATGCCAGTGTTTGCTTTGATTCTCTCCCAGCCTCCCATTGTGGTGTAATGACACACACTTGATTGTCTCTGCAGACTAAAAGCACACCAGAGACTTCACACAGGCAAGACGTTCAACTGCGAATCGGAGGGATGCACAAAGTACTTTACCACACTCAGCGATCTGAGGAAGCACATTCGCACACACACCGGGGAGAAACCATTCCGGTGAGGATTTCCATAATCACGGCAGGTTTAATCCAACTCCTAGGTGAAGATGAAGGAAGTGCAATTCTTTGAATCTGTTGAAATGTTTGCTTGGGTGTATTTTTTTCTATATTAAAACAAATGGGACAGCAGGGGCATGGTTTTACTGGGGAGGAATTTTCAGATTATGTCTTGAAAATCCATAATTTTCTATTTGCGTTTGATTTTAAGCCATTCTGACATATTTTTGTTCCCCCGTCTTTGCCCTCAGGTGTGACCATGATGGCTGTGGCAAAGCCTTTGCTGCAAGTCACCACCTAAAAACACATGTACGGACACACACAGGTATATCATATTTGCTTGTTTTATGTGACCATAATTTCTCTAGGAACACGACATGTTTGTTTTTTTTTTATCTCTGCCTGATTTGCATTGTTGCCAGTGCTTGAACGTGCACTTGTACTGACTGATTAATAACTCGCCAAACCAAAGTTTAAACAGATTGGATTAAAACAAAAGTGAAACATTAGACTCTGTGGCCAGAAGGGGTGTGTTTTCCATCTGTGTGCAAAGTAGACAAAAATACAAGCTTGATCCATCACTCAGTCAGTTGTGGGATATTTAAATCAAGCTGAAATAGATAGGATCTCACTGACATATAGACTGAAGTTTTGTTTTTTTCTCTCTGCTTCACTGGAATGTGTGAATGTTGCATTTTTGCCACCAGGGTTTTTCTAGACTGGCTGCAGGGCATCCCATTGTTTAGCTCTGTGAAATAAGGGCATGTAGTGACGTTGCTGATGTCTGCAATAGCTCATCGTACCTTGTCTTTGTTATATTTATTCCCAAGTTAAAAGTAAAGTTGCAGCCTTGATCTTAGCTCACTGTATGTTTATGCCAGGCAGAAAAAGTAAAGGCTGACAAAGATTATCCCTTACCATCCATCCATTATCTATACACCGCTTAATCCTCATTAGGGTCGCAGGGGGCTGGAGCCTATCCCAGCCTACTTAGGGCGAAGGCAGGGGACACCCTGGACAGGTCACCAGTCCATCGCAGGGCCACACTTAGAATTATCCCTTACCATTCTTTTAAATTTATTGTTCCACACGTCTACTTGTTTTCTAGGGGAGAAGCCATTCAACTGTCCCAGTGATGGCTGTGAGAAGACTTTTAGCAGCCAGTACAGTTTGAAGAGTCACATCCGGGGCCACGACAAAGGACAGCCCTTCAGCGTCACCCTCACCCATCCGCTCTCTGAAGTAAGTCGCAGCACAGCTACTGTAGAAAGTGCAACCAGCCTTACAGAAACATCCACAGGAGTCCTGTGTGTTTTTCTTCTAAATAGAGCGGCATGCACGTCTGCTGTCTGCCCTCACACTCCAGATCAGTCTGTGCACGTAGATGTGGAAACCATTTAGATTGTACAGAGTCTTGTTCTCATGCCTGAGAGCACTAGGACGCTGTGTTCCTCCTGTTATTCACTTGATTAAAAACCTGTGAATTTTAATCTACTCTGTTCAGAAATACAGTGTGCCTTCTAGTGTTGTGTGCGTTCTTGAGTTAATTCACTTACAGGTTTTCATATAAACAGCACATCTGTTATGTTCTCACACACACACACACCACGGCCAGTTTTATTACCTGATGGGAGGCACTCGAAACAGCCGTTCAGCCCAGAACAAAAGCTGCAATCTTGCACGATGTCAATATTTTCATATCTGCAAAGCCCTTAATATGAGGGGTTGGCAATACAATCAAGCAAATCTTTTCATAACTTATTAAAAATGAAGACGTTTTCTCATGTGCTTGTCTGGTAGATTACCTTTCTATTAGAAAAAGGAACTTTTTTGGTATGTTGTTTAACGTAAAACGATGATTTTAATGCTTTCATACAGAAGGTGTCATCCTCTTTTTCCAGTTTCCCAGCTTGTTTGCACGACTAAACACTTTATCCCATAGCAGTGGCATTTTTAATTAGGACCAATTCATCTCTTAATTACAGGATGCAAATCACTCGCTGTGCCTCAGTGACTTGAGCCTGATCTCTACAGACTCCGAGCTACGAGAGAACATTCATAATGTAAGTCTGGATTTTGCTTCATCTTTGTCAGATTGACTTTGGATTGAAGATGTAGAGGTTTCAAGATCAGCAGTAAAACTGTCTGTGTGTTAAGGCCTCTCTGTTCAGTGGTTATTTTACATTCGCTGTAATAAAAATGTAACCGTAAAACAAGAATTTCAGAGCATTTTAAAACTTCTTAATGGCGCTTAATGCATTTATTAAATTATTTATTCATTTTAATTTTGTTCCAGGCTCAAAATATGGACCTCAACAACGTGACCCCAGTGAAAATATTTGAGCTCATGTTCCAGAGTCCTGAAAATAGTGTCAGCCAAGATGATGCCCATCCCAGCGGTAGGAACATTTCATTCAAAACATGTCAGCTTGAACTGTACTAAACGTTCTTGTTCTGATGGGAGCTTCGTTTTCCTCCTCAGAGAGCCTTGCGGAACACTTCAGCCTAGAGGCCTCCACCCAACTGGGAGTGACTGATGCTTCGCCTCTCATCTCTTTCTCTATCAGTCCTACCTCCTCATCTTCCTGTTCCCACACCGCTGCAGTCATGGAGGCTTCTTCCCAGCTCAGTAAGAGCTCTTCCTCTCAGGCCTCCACCCCTGCCTCTGTCACTGCTACTGTCAGCTCCACCCAGCCTCCCCCTTTCATGCAGTTAAGTGGGCCTCAGCAGATTTCCGATCCTCAGGCGTCTGTCCAGCCACCAAACCACGTCACCCCTCAGCACTATGTGGCACTGCCACCCACATTCCTACAGCCAGACAGTGCTACACAGACCACTCCTTTACCACCACCCATGTCTGCTCCACCTTCAGTGGCTTCTGCACTGACCACCACAGCGCCAGGCCACGCTGCTGCTGCTGCTGCTGTCGTTGCAGCTACCACAACAGATGCTCTAGCTGCTGTGGCTCAACCTGTGCCTTTGGCCAACAACTCTGTCCCAAACTCTGGCCCCGGTCTGGCTACCACCCCTGCCACCATCACCATAGCGCCCAACCAGAACCTACTGCCGCCCGGCTTAGTCATGTCTGACCAGAACCTCCAGTGGATCCTCAGCAGTGCTGCCAACAACCAGCAAGCAGAGCAAGCAGTGAGTAATGCTTTCACACAGTGTTTGCATAAAAAAAATGTGACTCAATCTGTGGCAGTGTTGATGTTGGGATGTATTCTGAGGCTTTAAAGTAGGTCTGGATGACAGCGATATGCACTGGCGATGGACACTAACAAGGAAACTGTGGGGTTGAATTTTGATAGTTTCATTTAGGTGCAAACTGTCATGAAAGCTCATAACAAAAAAAAGCAATTACAGGCTGGTGTACCCTTTAATACCGGTGCCCCTTGACCTGCTGTCGCCCTCCCCCTGGCTGCTGCACTGGTTCATGACTGCCTCTCGTCACCTCTGAAGTTGCAGCTGGGGGGGTCTGGCGATTGAACAAGACAGGCTTAGCAGTCCAAAAATACACATTAAGGTTGTGTCCCCCACCACCACATCCACCTAAGCAACACACACCCACTTCCCCGCTCTGAGGGCTGACAGAGGAGGGATTGGCAGCACAGTGCAGGGTCTCAATTTGGTGATACCTGGTTCTGGCCAGCTACTAGGAACTTAAACCTCTGTGCAAAATGGTTGCATTCAAAGTAAAGAAAGTTGGTTAAATTCAAAATATTGTTTTTCTCCCAGCCGTCATTAAAAATAAGTCATTTTAAAAACAATAAAGAATTCTGAATCTGTAGTATTTATCACGATATACTTTCCAGCTGTATCATCCAGCCCTACTTAAATGCACATTTCTCCGTACATAGAAGTGGGGATTTCCTGCATTTGTTCTTGTTTTCATGTGTGATTCATGTAAGAGGAGCAAATTTTAGTAAAATCAGTTGGAAAAAATAGTTTTTCTTTTTGATATACCGTCATCAGGTGAGTGGAGCAAAGTAATGGGTTTGACATTTTATCATTACTTTTATTCCAGCACACTCACAGCAGCCACACACCATTAATACAGTTTAAGATTTCACTGTAACTCAGCCTGACAACATCCTGGTGTGTCTCCAGCTTTACACTTAACCTGCTTGAACTTGATTTTCAATGTTTTTTTTTTTTCCACAGCCGCATCAAGGAGCTCCAAAAGTGGAAAAGGTTTTCTTCACTACAGCCATACCAGTGGGGGGGAATGCTGGTAAGCCAGTGTTCAGTAAATTATTGTATTTCTTCATGCTGTGGAGGCCAAAACACTATAATGAAATCATAAATTTGTTGTGCTATCCAGTGGAGTACTTAGCCTTAACAGGATTAATTAAATAGCAGATTGTTAAATTGATTCCTCTAAGATGCTGCCACTGTGCTTTTATTATAGAAATGCAATTCTAGGATGCTTAATTAATCCACAGAGCTGGAACACTTGGAGCAGTATCCCATTACAGTAGTTTAGTAAACTGACAAGTAACTTTACAAATATTCAGGATCTACAGGAAGTCGTTGACATGAGGATGATTTTGATAATCAGGGCTTTTCTTCAGGTTGGAGCCTTGATGGGAAAAGCAAAGTCATCTTAGGCTGGATAATGAATGGTTACTGATGAATTAATCGCTTTTCTAATACTGGAAAAAGGACCGACCAATCCATGATTTGATTGTTTTGGTTCATCTTTAATATTATGAATGTTATTTTCTTCAGTGCTTCCTCAGTATCTGTGACTGCAGATTTCCTCACTAAAGTTAACTGGTGTAGTTGGTTTGTGATCACATGCTTTCATGGTGATTAGTTGATGGAAAAAGTTATCCCTGGATCACACTCTCTACCTAATTATTAGACACCAAGGCTGCATTCACAGTAACCATTTCTGTCCAGAGCCTTTTAGCACTACTTTTCAAATACATCACCATCCATACTCACATGCCTAAAAACACAGATCACATGACTGGTCATGCACACGTGGGTGTAAACAGGAAGCAGGTGGTTGGTTGCTCTTTTGTAAAGACTACAGAGGAAGAACAGTAAATGTGAAAAGTAAGACCAGAGATTTCTTTTGCTACACCTTTGACCAAGTGTAACTGTGCCTGAAAGTACAGCAAAGCAGTACAGGTTGGTTCAGGAAAGGCTCATGTGATAGAGGAGTGGTGAATGAGGGAAGGACAAATAGTAACTGATAGGACCCAATCAGGAAGAAGGAAGAGAACATGGGTGCACTAGTTCCCAAAAGTGTCTGTTTCTAACTAAAATGCAATCTGAGTTTTCAGACTAAAACGTTGAATTTTAATAGTTCTAAAATGCTCCACTAGTGTCGACTCGAGGCGTACACTTAGCTCAGCTCATGTGTTTAGTATGGAAGCCTGTAAATGTGGCATCAACTCTTGTCTTCTTTGCAGTCATTTATAGATGAATGCCACCTCCTTCTAAGCAGTTAGTAATTTCTCACCTCTTGCACCGGCCTCTGCAGCCCGGCATAAAGTTGTGTTTCTGTTTCAGGCAACTCGGTCCAACAGATCGGCCTCAGCCTGCCAGTCATCATCATCAAACAGGAGGAATCCTGCCAGTGCCAGTGTGCCTGCAGGGACTCTGCTAAAGAAAAAAGTGCAAAGAGTGCCTCCTCCTCCTCCTCCTCTGTCGTCTCAGCCCCAGCACAGCAGCCACCACCAGACCCCCCTCCCCCACCACCACCATCAGAGCCTCCACACCATCCAACGTCACCTTCCTCATGCTGCCTCCCCAAGTCTTCCTCCAAGGCGGGTGAGGTGAGGCTGGAGGCCCCCCCCTCTTCTTCTACTACTTCTACTTCTTCGTCTACTTCCTCCTCCTCCTCCTCCACAGCTCAGACTTACTCCACGATCGTGAGCAGCACTGCCACAAACCCGTCGTCATCCGACGGGTTAGCCAGCATGGACGTCTCAGACTTCCTCTCCCTGCAGAGCCCTGAGACGGCTGCCAACATCGAGGCTCTGCTGCTGGTCGCAGACGACTTCAACATGGCCACCGACGGCACTCCTTAGAAGAACTGCTTTCCGAGTCTGGCACCATGTGTTTGTCTCGTCGCACCCACTCATCCACAAGCATAGAGTCCACCTACACCTTGAGTCATTCTCCAAAGTGATGCCTCTTCCTTCACCCTATATAGTGTGTGCATCTAAACCACCTGTACCTGCAGTGCATTCTGTCCTATATGGTACCGCCGTGCAGCATATATATACAAACTATGAATAACGTTTCTGTTGAGTCTCATTGCAGTAGTTGAGTTTTTAGAAGACAGGATTAGTTTGCGTATCGAGATTTAGCAACTTTAATTAATGCAGGGAAAAGGCAGTAGATCCTTTTGTTAAAAACAAACAAAAAAACTGTATATAGTAATCCTCGAGATATCCACTCTGAACCGATTGAAACAAGCGAGTGTTGTCCAAGCACTGATCATTTTAGAGTTCCATTCTCCTGACTGGGAGGCGACACGCCTCAGCAGGAAATCTAAACTCTTCTGTATATCCTCGTACTGTACTACAGGTCCTAACAAATTCTTAAAGCTGGTATGCAACTGACTAGAATGCACTGTATATTAGAGGAATTTGCTATAATTTTACTCAAGCATTGCTCTCAGCAGGAGTTTAGGGGCTGACCACACAGCCCTCCCCCCATATGGCTGATATGTAATATGAAGTGATTTCCTCAGTTTTTTTATTTTTTTTATTTTGTTTGATTGTTTTTTGGGGGTTTTTTAGAAAAACTAGTCCATAAAATGTGATGATTCTTTTCTATTTGTTCGGACAGTCATTTACTAATTGAGAGAAGAACCTGTGATCAGATCTGCCTGTCTCTTTAAATGACATCAATACGTTGCCTATAACTTAAACTAACTTAAAATTGTACATGTTAATTTATTTAAATGCTTGATTCTTTCATTTTTACTGGTAATACTATTATCGTCAAGATAGCAGAAAGAAAAAAAAAAGTTTATTAATTTATTCCAATCATTTGTTGTATTTTTTTAAGTTGAGCTGTTTTTTTTTTGTTTTTTTTCGTTACTGAATTGTTTTCCTTTTTAAGAACGTAATGGGTTTTACTAAAAGCAAGGTCGAGAACAGAGCCAGCTCTAGTAGACTGCACAGTGAAGCAAATTATCTTCTAGGATCTACTTGTTTGCGAAGATTGTCCACGATTAAACAGTAAGGAACTACTGTCAACATCCCACAGGTTTTTTTTTTTTTTTTAGGGTTGTGACCCTCTCAGGGATGCATCAAGTCATGACTGATCCTGGTTCCCCTAATTTGTTACTCAGACATGCGTTTTTTTTTTTTTTTCCTCACCAGATGTCCCACACTTGCAGTAGCCCTACGTTTTTTGCTGCACTCTTCCCTGTTTATTGCACACTAACTTGTAAAAGCGAGTAATCCGACAGCTTGTTAGCTGAGGTGCAGCACCACTACAGACTTTTTTTGTATACAACTGCTGTAAAGTAGCATTTAAAAAGACGGTGTCCTGGCGACAGTGTAAATATAGTACATTTTAGTGTAAACATGTTTGAGAAACTTGTAGATTATTCTAGAATTTGTATTTTTGTATAGATTTTTGAATTACTAACTCTCAGAGTTCGGAGCTAATGTATACCCTCTTATCCTTTCATTCTTCCGCCTGTCACGTTTATGCAGAAGAGGTTTTTTTTTTGTTTTTTTTTGCCGTGTTTAGTCGAATAGTTCTACAAGCAGCTGTGCTTCTGTACAGTCCCTATAGTAACGACATGTATGTAACACATAGCCTCCTGCTCAGAGTATAATTTAACAGTATTGTTATCACACGGGACACAATGCAATGATGACAGAGCAAAGGCACGACGCCCTGTAAATTAGAGTGTAGAGCTACTTGGCCTTACAACACAAACTGTTCTGTGAGCCTCTTTGCCTTGACGCTCTCCGACATGTCGACACACTCATCTCCACTGACTCTCAGGCGATCATTTCCAGCAGCAGATCACACTGAGGCTAAAGCGCTGAAAACGTCGTGTTGTTTTACCGCTGTCATGTTTGGAAAGTCCTTAATAGATATGCAGCGTTGCTAAAAGAAAATACATATGATCAACTACATCACACATGATGTGATTCTGCATTTTAATTCCAGGTTGTAGGATCAAACCAAACAGACAACCACTTTTTTTTTTTTGTCTTTTTGCCATAATTTAGGAGGAGAGCTTTCCCTCGAGTCACAGGTGCCCAGAGCGCGGTAGATAAATTGCAAGAGGCTCCTGTTGCACATTTTGTGTTTGAAACCATTCCACGTATGCAGTATTTGACATCTGGAGCGTCTACGTCAGAAGTTGGCTCTATTTGGATTAGAAAAATGTAACGTAGTGTCCCTGTTAAAATACTGCCAGGAGTCAGGCATGTACATCACGACACATTCTCATACATGCATACTGTCGATGAACACAACTATGCAATTTTAAGGTGTGGCATTCACAAGTTTAAATACTAACTCCATCTGAGAAAGTTTATTAACGCCTCGCTCCATGAAATTATATTCTGCTTACAACTTGTACGCCGGACTCCAGCGGCAAGAGTGTGCATTTCCACTGCATTGATTTTGAAGCATGCTTCTTGGACTTCAGTATATTTCATTATTTGCACTGGAGTGGTTGAATCCAGACTCTGTAGTGCGACCATCAAGTACTGTTCCCATGAATGTTGCTCTACAGTTATTCTTTCACATGCCTCTGAGGTTTTAAATCCAACTGAATCTGTACTGAGGGAGTACGTTGGCGAATGAATGGTTCTGTTTTAAGAATTTCTTTGGTCAAATGTACACAGCATTTCCTTTTTTTTTTTTTTGTGGTGGACATGTTTCGTTGAGCTCACTCCATTGATGTAATTCATCTCAGCCTTTCACATACTTAAAAGTTGACTTTCACCTTCACCAATGAGAGTCAAACTTACTGCTGCCAATATTTGTTTTAACCATTAAGCAGAGACGTTGTTTTTGACTTGTGGCCCAGGTTTGTGTGGCCGACGATCACCTGCAAAGGTAACGCCGGCACATCACTGATGGTGACATTTGTTTGGAAGCAGATTGTTTGATCACAAACATAAAGCCAGAGTGATTTTTTTTTTCTCTTCTTTTGGAAAGTGAGATCCAGAATTTCTGTCATCTCCAACATTTTTCCAAATGGGCAATATTTAACAAAAATACAAAGTCAAAAAAAGAAACTGTATGCTTCCAAAGGAATGTCTTTACACCCAAAGAGTGAGGAATTGTTAAGGATTTGTATTTTTAAAGAATGTATAATGTGAAAATGTTTGCTTATGCTTGTTTCATATGAAATATAATAACTTTCTGAATTGAGAGCAATATAATACTAATAAAACCTTATCCTTGTCACGGAGATGTCACGTCTGATTGGTGAAGTGTTTAGAGTCCAATGCAGTGAAAGTTATTTAATTACACAAAGTAGAAAAAGAAAAGAGTGGGGCTTCATCTTGGGGTCACTTCTGTGGCGGTAGGGACACGTCTTGAAGAGATTTCCTCTGCAAAAACAACCACGATTAACTTTGAGAATCTCTAATAAGCTGCAACAGAGAATGTAATGAGAGTTAACAGAAGCTCTTACCATCAGAACATCAGTCAGATCCTTCAGGTCGTTCAGGACTGTGTTGCACACGGTCATCTTCTCAGACAAGCTTTCCAGTCTGTCATCAATGTTTGTCACTTGCTGCAGGTGGACAGGTGTGTTGGTCATATGGCAGTTTGAACAGGAAGCCACAAACAGGTTCAGACACTCACCTGTTGAGCGGCTGAACCGGCAGCATCGGTCACCGCATCCTCAGGACGATCTGTTTCCCAAAAGGTGCGTGTTGTGTTGTCCGTGTCCGAGGCCATGATGTTGTGTAAGCTCAGTGTTTCAGGCTTTCTGCGTTTATAAACAGGTGCTCACAGGTGATCTACATTTTTCTGATTGCTGCTTGATGAGCAGGTAGCGAATAAGAAAATAATAACAGGCGTCCTCATCATCTGCCGGTGAATAGCTTTCATGATAATATTATATCATTTCAAAATGACATGTTGCCAACAACAATAAGCCTGTTTTCATTGGAAATATGTACAGTCGTCCTCATGTATTCATACTCTTCCATTAAAGAAAAGGCAAAATGCACAATAGTCACTCAAATAACTACAAACTGGAAAAAGTAATAATAAATAAAAATTTGCTAAATTATAATTTAGTGATAATAAGACATTGCTTTTGAATTGTGGTTGAAAAGAACAATTACAAAAAATAAAAATGAAAAAAAAAGACTGTCCCGGACGAATTAGAGCGCCTTGCTGGTGAGCAGTGGGCCAACATCACAATACCTGTCTTTTTTTTTTTTTTTTTTTTTTAATGATTCTTTTCAACCACAATTCAAAAGCAATGTCTTCTTTTACTAAATTGTAATTTATTAAATTTTTATTTATTATTACTTCTTTTAGTTTCTAGTTATTTGAGTGACTATTGTGAATTTTGCCTTTTCTTTATTGGAAGGGTATGAGTACATTAGAGGACGACTGTATAGGACGCGTTCTGGCCCTTTAAGAAAAATGGCGTCATCGTTTCGGGGCGTAACCCGGAAGACTTCTGGGTTTTTTTTCCCCGTCCGGCGACAACATGCTCCTCATCTGAGAAATGTCCCGTCGGTGGTCGTAGACTCTTAATTTATGAAGGCGGTTTGTAGCATCGCTGCTGAATTCATCAAATCCAGAGGAGCTCACGCTTCGGCTCGTCCACTCGGAGCAGAGATGTGTAAAGAGCTCAAGACCAAAGTGCTGCGTCTGTCGCCGTCGACCTCCAATGGGCCGGCAGTCCAGCAGCAGGGCCACACAGGTACATGTGCTTGTCATTCACCGCTGCGGTACACGTGGGTCCGACTCGGTGCTTGTTTTGGAATGAGGTGGATGACTTTGACAGGTTTTAGCTCCTGAGGAAACTCCAACCTGGAGAAGTTTTGGCGCTGAGCAGCGTCAATATTACAGCGTGTTACATCAGATTCCGGATTTTCCTGTCATGCATGAACAGCAGCATTGTGATGTTAAAATAAATCCACACCTGGAGCTCACAGTGGAATAGCTTTCAGCAGGTAGCACATAAAGCTGTTTACCCAAACTAGATCAGACCGTGAGGGGTGATGTGTTCAGGTGACACAGCTTTCAGACTGTTGTGTACACTGATGTGTCAACACCTCATCCAGTTAACTTAGACTGACTTTATTAATCCCAGAAGGGAGATTCAGGCGTTACAGCAGCATGAATATTCAACAAAGGTGGTAAACAAAGCAAAAAGACAACACAGAAACGTAATGAAGGGTATAAAATTAAGGTAAAATAAAACAAAATAAAAATGTAGAATATAGAATATAGAAGAAGTCAAACTTACGTTTACAAAAATAACACATGTAATAATTGAGCTATTTTGAATTTGCATTGTTATTTAAATTGACTATAATATGCTCTTGTAACATTTAGCCACATTTCATTATTATGCAGTGTGTGACTGTACACTGCAATGTGTGCGTGTGTGTATAGAGTTCAAACCAGAAGTTTACATACACTGTATAAAAAGACATTAACCTTTTTTTCCTCACAATCTGACATTAAATCAGACAAAATATTTCCTGTTTTAGGTCAGTTACTATAATTATTTGTATTTGCTAAATGTCAGAATAACAAGAGAGAAAATTTTTAGACAATATTTTACTACTTTCTTCAAAGTCAGAAGTTTACATACACTAAGATTACTATGCCTTCAAACTATTTGGGAAAGCCCAGATGATGATGTCATGGTTTTGGAAGCTTTTGATTGGTTAATTAACAACATCAGTTAATTGGAGGCACACCTGTGGATGTATTTTAAGGCACACCTCAAACACGCTGCTTCCTTCTGTGACAACATGAGAAAATCTAAAGAAGCCAGGAAGAGACTTGTGGACCTCCATAAGTCTGGTTCATCCTTGGGTACAATTTCCAGATGCATGAAGGTTCCACGTTCATCTGTTCAAACAATTACACGTCAGTATAAACACCATGGGAATGTCTATCTGCAGGTGTGCCTCCAGCTTTCCAACATTAGAATTCAGAAGGTCACATCGAAGAATCTACATAATCTTCTGACAGTTACACCAAGATATTATTCATTCGTGTTCCAATTTTGATATAACTATGTTCAAGGAGAGACTGAAAAAATTACCCACATTTCTAGGCTTAATTGCATTTTTTATAAGTTTCCATGCCGCCTTTGGGTGTCTCTACTCAGTAGTCTTAGTGTATGTAAACTTCTGACTTTGAAGAAAGTAAAAAAGAAATCTCAAGAAAATTCTTCTCTCATTATTCTGGCATTTAGCAAATAGACATAATTTTGGTAATCCTAACTGACATAAAACAGGAAAAGTTTAGTCTGATTTAATGTCAGATAGTGAGAAAAAAAAAGGTTTTTGTGTCTTTTTATACAGTGTTTGTGAACTTCTGGTTTCAACTGTACACACACACACACACACACATATAACAATGTGTGCTTTTAGATGTAGAAAAGTAATATATAATGCATAAAGTGCTGCTGTGATGTCTTCAAATAAAAGTTTTGTGGCTTTCAATCTCACCAGCAGCTCCTCTTTCCCCTAGTTCTCCTTCCAGTATATCTCCAAAGTGGCACAGCAATACAAATCATATATTCCATGTGTTGTTGTTTTGTTGTTTTTTTAGCAGAATGTCTGGATGTTGAATATCATTGAGCTCAAACTGGTACCTAAACATGCAGGAAAATAAGATGCAGACGAGTGACAAATGAAAGGATAAACCAGCATAAAGCGTCTTCGTAACATGTTGGGCACCACCACAGGCTATCAGAAGGGCTTTAATGTGCCTTGGCAGTGATTCTCCAAGTCTTCTACTGGAGGGATGGACCACTGTTCTATTTCAGAAATATTCCTTAATTTGGTGTTTTGATGATACTGGTCAAAGCCGGGGTGGAAGTGGCCAGAACGTGCACAATCACACCGGTCAGTTAGGCTGAAATCCAGCGATGCGTAGTGTTCTAACAATACACTAGTTATGATGACAACTATGAACAATAATTAACAACAAATGAGCCTTCAAGCATCAAGCCCTCCTTGTATCTCGACCTCCGTCTTGACAATCCGACGGCCTTGATATCCGACATAACAGAAGGTTTTACATTTAGTGTCGGATTATCGAGTCACGACTGTTTAAATTTGTGTATTTTGGGTCACTTTAGGAGAAGTAATCAACCTTCAGGCTAAAAGACTGACCACTTTTTTTTTCTTTTTTACTGCTGTCAGATGTCATAACGGGTCAAATTTGCCCCGGAACAGTATGTTAGGGTTGTTTCAGTGAACCCTCGTGCCCTGTGGATGGAGGCATTGTCTTCCTGGAGGAACCCACTCCCATCAGGATAGAAATGCTTCATCATAGGAGAAAGGTGATCACTCAGAACAACTCTGTATTGATCTGCAGTGACCCTTCCCTCTAAGTGGCCAAGTGGAGTGAATCAATAGCAGCACTGTGTCCTCACAGCATAGCAGAGCCACTGCATCCCCTCACTGTAGGGGTCACGGGTTTTTCCTTTCATTTGTATGATCTGGAGCAATGGAGTGAGGAGATGATGTGTTTTTTTTTTGGCCTTCTGTTCTGTTCTGTTCTGTGTGTCCCTGCTGTGGATTAATTCTCATTTTCGTTTTCAACAGCTGGTGCTGAAATCCTGACTTGCACGGCGAAGGCTCTGAAAGAGGGTCACGTTGTTGGCGTGCCCACGGACACCATCTACGGTCTGGCGTGTCTGGCCCAAAACTCGGAAGCTGTCAGAAGGATCTACGACATAAAAGGGAGAAACGGACAGAAACCGCTGGCGATTTGTGTTGGAGAAATTCAGGATATTTATAAGTAAGTGTTGAGACGTTGGCTCTCATTTGACTTCTATCTGGGCTCATGTTGTCGTCTGGTGGACGGTGGACATTATAGATGGCTGCAGATTTTTAATTAAAGTGTTAAGTGTTATTTTTTTTTGGTTCAGTCCTTCAGAAATGGTTTCTCGACCTGCTGTTTTTCAAAAACATATTACTCCTACACAGAGGAGTCACACATACAGGAAGCACAGATCTCTACTCCAACAACATTACAGCTTACATTTTGAGTGACAGGTACACCTGCTGTCACATAAACACCTCTGTTATCAGTAATTCATTTGCAATATAAGTGTATTTTACACAGCCGTGTCTCAGTTCTATGATGGTTGTGGAACCTTTATGGGAGTTAAACTGAATCGGATTGTACATGGATGGAGTACACATACAGATGGTGGGTACGTCCAAAAGCTCAACTGCAATATTCTCCATTAGTAGTTATTTTATAATTTATTAGAGTGACAGCTAGTTTTCAGATCGCTCGTTTGCTCTATTCAATGTCAGAACATAGTGAAATTGTGTCACAACATTGCGTGTTTCAGTCCAAAATATAGTTAAAGCACGAAGAAAATCCTCACAGCTGACGAGCGTTTTGGGTTAAAAATAAAGAAAAAAAAAAGAAATCAAAATATCTGTTCATTTCGTTTTGACTGAATCCCATGATGAAGCAGACGTTTAGTCACAGTAGCTCAAAGCTAAATACAGATCACACCAGGCTGACCAACAGAGCGAGGCATTTCTCAGACGATGGCACACATTGCTCAACTTTGTTTTTCTTCCCGTGGACAGGTACTGTAAGGTGAAGGTGAAGGAAGAGCTGCTGGGTGACCTACTTCCTGGTCCCGTCACTCTGGTGTTCGAGAGGTCTGAAGCGCTCAACACAGATCTGAACCCCTTTACTTCAGTAAGGCCTTTAAATGAATACGACAGAAAATAAAACGACAAATTCTTTTATTGGTAAACGTCACTCCGCTGTTGTTTACATGTCCTTATGCTCCTTAGCTTGTAGGCGTGCGTATCCCGGATCACGCCTTCATGAGGCAGCTTTGTCAGACGTGTGGGGAACCACTCGCACTGACCAGCGCCAACATCAGCTCACACACCAGCACCGTGGAAGCACACGTAAGTGGAAAGAAATAAGTTATCCGACGATTCAGCGGAAGGATGTTTCAGCTCAGAAAGAGGTGTATGAAGTGGAAGTATGTCATCTCCAATGCTGCTGTGTTGTCCGCTGAAGGAGTTCCAGGAGCTCTGGCCCAGCCTGGCTGTGGTGGTGGACGGTGGACCAATAGGACAGCAGAGCCGCCTCGGATCAACGGTGGTCGACCTGTCAGTGCTCGACAAATATCGCATCATAAGACCTGGCTGGTAAGTTCCTGCTATTACCCAGTTTAGTTTAGTAAGGGTTTGATTTCGGCCTTCATAACGTCAGCTGTTCATAAGGAATATAAAACATATTGCAGAGTGATGCAAAACTTATGGCAAGGTAACACAGGAGCAGCTCAAAACTCCAGATTCTCAGGGGAAAAAAGTCAGATTCAATCTCAAAATTAAAAAGTCAGACTTTTGTGGGGGAAAAAAAGAGAAAAGTCAGAACTCTTGTATTTTTTTTTACGTGGTCCTAATGCTCTTCTCTGCATAATCAGTTGATACATTCACACTATGTACACACAAGTCAAAGAAATAAAAAACAGTCATTCAGTGAAATTTCATGGAAGGATGTGACCACTCAGATTTTAGTAATAAATGTTTGCAAGTGGTGGTGCGGTGGTGCAGTGGTTAGCATCGTTGCCTCGCAGCAAGAAGCGTCCCGGGATCTTTCTGCGTGGAGTTTGCGTGTTCTCTTCACCTTCACCCTGAGTCAGCTGGGATAGACTCCAGCCCCCTGGGACCCTAGTGAGGATTAAGCGGTGTATAGATAATGGATGGATGGATGTTTGCAAGTACCATATGTGACCCATCTGCACGAAATCAGTCACATTGCGCTTTGAGCTATATCAGAGATACAGCCTGAATTACATTAACACATGATAAAATATTGATGTTGGGTTTATTACTTAGATCAGTCCATTTAGTTGTTTTCTACATGGAGGTAACGTATAATATTAGTAATATTACGCTCCATATTGTTGTCAAATACAACGTGCTGCATGAGTTGTAACACCAGAAAGAAGCAGCGGAAATCACTTGTGCACAGGCGTCGTGAGCGATGTGTCATCGCCAACCAATCCCATCCTGTGATTTACGTCATGTGGTAGCAACATGCCGCTTTTGTTTACCCATAATAGCCCAAGGCTCAATATGACTGATCTGATGGGTCACATATGTGTAGTCTTGTCCTCAGTTATGGGCCATCATCAGAATTAGGATTTTTGTGGTTCCAAATGAACTAAACGGACCACCTTTAATGAACCACCTGCATCAAGCACCCGTCAGTGTTTCTGCTCCACTGCTGGGACTCCAGCAACAGCCCCATCACAATGGGGTTAAGATGGGCCTTCTGCAGCACCAGCTATAGCTGTAAATGTCTTAAAGAAAATGTGGGCAAGCATGTGCAGATAGAATATGTAAACTGATAGAAATCCCGTCTGGAGTCCAGTGTGTTTGAGCTTCACATCCCTCCTGCCCCACATCTCCCACATTTACTCTCAAGCTGACTTGGTACGTTAAATGAGAAACGACTGTAACTCTGTTTTTTTTTTGTTTTTAGTGCCTTTTCTGCTACGGTCGATGTGCTGGAGCGCAAATACGGACTGTCAGAAGACTCGGGGCAAGAATGACCTCTGAACTCTCCACACTTCAAAAAAAACAAAATGCTGAGACGCACAACCTTTTGGCTTTGACTCAGGACGAGACGAATACTTTGTGAATCTGTCTTTACTACGAACGACTAGAACTCAGGAAGGAGTCGAGTCGATGGACGATGTCGGTCTGGGGGCTGCTTTACGGTCTACTTTGTCTTTGGATGACTGTATTTTATGCTCTATTATGCATCTTTCATGGGACTCTGTGGGAGTTTAAGTTGTCATAGCTGTCATTTATTCAGAAACACCAAACAAGGGAGGTTATGTAGTGTTCCTAAAGCAACAACTGAAAAAAAGAGTGTAACGGTTAAGACATTGAGTGAGCACTTAATTTAATTAATCTGTCCTAACAAAGGGGTGGGAGTTTTCAGGTCATTTTTTTAAATTTTACTCAAACTATTTTTTAGGAAACCCCCCATATTTATTCAGCGTGACGCTTGCAGGACAGTTTCAATCGACTACATTAGATGTTGGAAAACACTGTAATGTATCAGAGTTGTTTTGGTTTATGTGGATCTAATGTAATCTGCCCACTTGCACGAGTGTTTTTTAATCTTCAGTGCCTGATGTAACCTTAAATGGATGTATAACTTCTGTACAGCCAAAATTAAAGTTGTTTTTTTTTCCAGTACCTCACGTCTTTATACATAAGAAGCCACCCGAGATATATTTCTGTCTTTCTTCTTAGGTGTCTGGATTTTACGCATAATTGACTCTTAATGGAGCGTGAAATCGAGAGTCGGATTCTAAGTGTTTTCAAAAGTAGCAGCAAAAAAAACGCTTTCATCAAAGAGAGTTAAAGATACAGCAAAGAGCACGCTTGCCTTGTCTGAAAGCACCTCTTTAAAAAAAACAAAAAAAAACAGCAGAATCTTAATCAAATGCATACAGAGTGGGCCCAGTAAATGGCAGGCTTTTATTCATACAGCCACTCCATTTTCAAAACTTAACTTCTGATTAGTTTTTTTTTTTGACTCTTGTGAATCAAGGAAGGAACATGGTGTATTTCCATCAAGGGAGAGTTAAGATTATCTGGTAGGTGTGACAACTTGAAGCACTTTCATGGCCTCCATGCCTGAACTGAGAACTTTTGATTGGAGAGCAGCACTAAACTGTAGCATATAAATACTAGAAGGATATTCTGTTTTACTCACCACCTGAAATACTTTTTGTAGTTTCTTTAAGAGGGCTGTCGCTGGTGCCGCCTTTCTGACACAAATACAAAAATCTGAAACGATATGAAACCACAACTTTTAAAGCAACAGTTTGGTAAATTAGGAAATAAACGTCTTTCCTTTCTTGGTGCGACTTGTGAGGAGTATTTTCTAAAATGTCAAAGAAAAGCTTTGATTCCTTAAGAATCACATTGAAGGTTTTTGAACCATGTTTGCAGCTTTTAAAACACCATTTCGACACCATTTTAACAAGCTCTCTGAAATCTTCTTTCGCTGTGGATCTGAGAACAACACAGTCTTTTAACTTTTCAGTTCTAACTCACTGTAGAGACAGACATGACACCCTTACATGGTGACGCGTTGTATTTTTGAACAGGAAGGAGCTTCTCACATTAGAAGCATGCCAGAAGATCTGAGGCAGGTCTTTAGAGCATTTTAGAAGTCTGGACAGTTCAAAGAAGACGACCACTCTGGGAACACTCACATCCGTTCATCAGCACTCGCGTCTGCAGCTTCTACATTCATTTGTTCTCTCTCTTTGATTTGTAAACACACTTTTACTAGAGCACGCTTTTCCAGCTCACATGAGCCACTGCTCCTTCTCTTTGTTGAACTGCTCGGCCCAGCGGCGGGTCAGGTCCAAGTAGTGGTCGGGTCCATGTGGCTGATAGTCCAAGTACACGCGGGTCACAGTTTTCTTAGGGACCGCCCTCTCTATCTGCGTCCCCTCGTGCCATTCGTTAAAAGACGTGATGGTGACCATCTCGGGGCGCACGTTGAGCGCCGCCTGCAGGGCCGTCTCGTAGTAGCGGCCGTTGACCCGGTTGCGTGTGTTGTGGTTGTTCCACGGCCGGATGCTGGTGTCGATGTACCCAGGCCCCACGCTGGGGATGAAAAGGAGATTGTTCCCGTCGCAGAAAGCTTTGATGGCCTTCCAGTTCTGGTGAGAAGAACCAAAGGAGAAACCGTTGGAGGCGAAATACGTGTACATGCCGTCGAATCCGCCCGCAAGGATGTCGTGCTTGTGGCGCTCCTCCACGATCAGGGCGATGAAGACGGAGTCGTAAGCCGAGCCGCGCACGCTGTGGGAGCCGGTGGGAGTCAGGAACTCAGACCAGGCCTCTGGTGGAGTTAAGTAGGAGTCATAGATGTAAAACAGAGGAAGACTCTTCCCTGTGCTGGAAGTAAACTTGTAGAAGGCTCCATGGTCACCATACCTTTAAAGAAAACAACAGAGTAAAGTAAGAAGCAGCAAGCCTGAAACTGATCAGCTTGTAAGGCTAAACAAAAAAAACTGATTTTGTTCTGGGTCTGATGCTTTAGATTTAAAAAACTAAACAAAACATAAGCATAAGGGGGCTGCAAGGTGACTCGGTGGTTAGCACCGTTGCCTCGCAGCAAGAAGGTCGCCAGTTCGCATCCCGGAGAGGACACCCGGGATCTTTCTGTGTGGAGTTTACATTCTCCCCGTGCAGCATGGGTTCTCTCCGGGTTCTCCAGCTTCCTTCCACACGGTCCAAAAACATGTTGAGGTTAATTGGTGATTCTAGATTGTCTTTAGGTGTGAATGTGAGTGTGCTTGGTTGTCTGTCTCTAAGTGTAGCCCTGTGATAGACTGGTGACCTGTCCAGGGTGTTCCCTGCCTTCGCCCTAAGTCGGCTGGGATAGACTCCAGCCCCCCTCCCCAGTGATCCTAGTGAGGATTAAGTGGTGTATAGATAATGGATGGATGGATGGATGGATGGATAAGCATAAGGTTCAAATCAATTCACAAGCGTTTATCCCCTGAGAAACATTAATGTGGTCAAGCATCACTGCAATCTGCCTGTTAGTTCATTAGCTGTACTGTGTTTACAGTTAATGGCACATGAGACTAACACAGAAAACACTCATGTTGAAGTGGACAAGGTTTAACCCCTGGGGAGCATGACGCTGTTAAGCTATGAAGTAATCTTTTTGATATTCCTTACAAACAGTCAGGCATACAAAACACAGGTTTCTAAAATAACATAGACATGTAGTCTGTCAGACAGTAATCTAAAATTACTGTAAAATACTATATACAGAAAACAATATTATTATTTTGCTAAAAAAAAAGCTTAAAAAGTCGACAAAATTAGATTAATTAATTAAATTTAATAGTAAGCTAATGGAAGCAAGTGACGGTTTATCTCACACATCTGTACTATAAGCTTAACCACTGAAGCAAAATGTAAAGAATCTGCATGTCATTTCTTGTTTACATGTGTTGAAACTGAATATCTTTAGAAAGTTTGGGAGTTTTTTCGTTTTTGGACCTGACAGGTGCTTCTTCTCAGACTAACCTCGATACTAAAAGTTAGGGAAAAAAACAGCTTTTACTTTAAAACCTCATTCATAAGTCATGAAAGCGGCCTTACATAATCAGAAATGCATCCTAAAAGTATTTCAATGTTGTTACTTCTGTTTTTTTTTTTCTTCTGCTGTGCATGCAATCTTAATGCTTTTCTATCTGAATTGACTCGGTGATGAAGTGCAGCCAGACAGGGCTCCTACCTGTCAATGATGTACTTGATGTTGTCGTGCACACTCTGGTCGTTCCGTCCTCGGTACGGCTGGATGTGAAACGCGACCTGGTGCAGAAAGACGCTTGTTAGTTTCCATTCGTCGTTAAGATGTCACAGTCAGCACTTATGTATGACCTTAACAAGTATTGATTCAAAATTAGCAGTTTCTCAGAGGGGCGAGACTTCTCATAAATGGCTGACAAGTGGTTTGTAATCAATGTCTGAGAAATTGCCAGAAAGAAGTAGTTCCATAAAAGTCAAATATTTCTCCAACAGTCCAGACTGCTAATTCCTCATCCAGAGAAAGGGAGAAAAAAGTGTCCTAAAGCTTTCATTGTGACATCAGGGATCTAGTTTCTTACCGTTTTACAGATGATGTGTTTACAGTGTTTCGAAAAACCTGTAAATAAGAGCATCATACAGACGTAGGTCAATGCCGCAACAGTTGCCCTCTTACATGGACGGTGACGAGCCATGTTCTCAGCCTTCCATGACAAATTGTGCTACGCTGCAGAAGATGTTTTTTCACCCTGACTGGTCCCCCCCTCCCCTCTGGAGGCTTCAGTAATTCTCAGTTAATGGTTCTGTTAAAAACAGCTATTTACAATTGATGAACAAAAGTAGCACAGACACAAGGGACCTCAAGTGACATGCACCCCAAATGCGCTTAAGTTGAATATTTTAAGGCTACGGCCAGAGAATTCAGCGCCTCTGAATTATGCATGATCAAAGCGAAACACCACTTTTCCGGCAGTGGACACCCAAGGGGGACAATGCTCAGGAAAATGGCTTTTTAAGATGATGGCAGCATACAAATGGATGTAAGATGTCGTCAAGTGAGCTACACAAAGACGCCTTAGCCCATGCTGTGTGATTCCTGTCTTATGTCTGATAAAAAAGAAGAAGAAAAACTGCATTTAGTCTATATGTTGCTAATGCAAGAAGCTCTGTGGTGCTAAAATGTCACGGCAATGCATCAAGGAGTTGTTGAGGTATTTCATGTCTGGACTTAATTAGTCAATTAGCTGATTGACATTAGCATCCACCAGCAGCACAGCTTAAAAGCACTTCCATAAGGACAGTGTTTGTCAGATGCATTTTTGTACTAATGTGCCTGTTAAATGTAAGAAATCTGCAGCTTGATATATGATACGCCGCATTTTTTTTGTAAAACAAGCTACTGTCAGTGTGATATAGTGCACTAATGGATTGCAGGCTGAAACTTATTGACGCAAGCTGCAGACATAAAATCTTATGATTGAGGCAAGACAAACAGAATCAATTGCGCCACTAACTTTTATGTGCAACAAAATGTACTTTCTGACGGCATGAGATGCGCTATGCCTGCAGAACACTGATTTGAAATAAAGATAGAGGCGGGATGTTGGCCGTATAAGTAAATCATACCTCAGAATCAATGTTTACGAGGCCATAACTCTCTGGACCTCTTGTGATTTAACAGCCCAGTAAAGTGAGAACAAACACGAACCCAACTGTGAGGTATTAGAGGATATGAAGCCACATGATTATCAGCCATAGAGGGGGAATAAAAAAAAAATTATAAATCGGTTGTGGTTTCGTATTCACCGCAGCAGAGCGCAAACTGCTAGAAAAACTCTGCTCATTTTCCCCCCAACACGCTGGCCCATTACTCTGTGGTAATTTAGAAATAAATGAGACAGAGTTGACGCATTTTAATACCTCATAAACATTGACAGCATGAGCCTGGAACAACCCCGGCATGATTTATGCTGAGCAGAGTGGAATTTAGTGCCATGTCATGCAGAAAGCTCTAAGGGAGGGGATGTGTGCCAACACAAAGACAAAGGTCTGGACCTTTATCACAATTAGATCAATTTCAACAAAGTTTTGGCACATTCCTTTATGCAAGAGTGCCGCTTTCATTCTGTGGTCACTTAAACAACAATAGAGGTTTCCCATAAGACCAAATGAAGCTACTCAGTGCATCTGGAAACTAAAAAAAGTGAAGCTGATGCCATTGCAGGGCACCCATGGGCCGTATTCCCCTGTGAGCATGTAGCTGCGTGGCCTACTTACGAGACAGAACTTTTACAGCCCCTCGGGGTGCAGATTGTTCAGAGGCGCAAACTGAGTCATGGGACCCATGATGCACATTTCCCCTCTGCTCCTTTTCTCCTACATCCAACTTCCAAACCCCCCCTCCTCCACCCCTCCACCCCTCCACCCTGTCCCCTCCAAACCGCCCCCTCCCTCCCCTGGGCAGAAGGACTATTTCAGCTCTACTTCAAGCTGAGGTCAAGCAGCAGCACTGCTGTGGAGGCTCTCCATGTCTGCCGTACACAACAGCACGAGCTGTGTGTGGGTGCTGTTCAACTTATATAATAATATAAAAAAAAAAAAAAGTACATTGCCTTTTTTTGCAGGATTACCTGAAGAGGGGTCAGTGTGTTTTTAGCTACGCGGTGTGTGTGTGAAATGATGGAAGCTAGATTTGATTTTAGTGAGCAGGCTCTGTTCCCATTTCCATTCACCTCCACTTCAACTTGTGATTACTTGTGCAAATATTCCACGTGTGTAATTTAGCCTCTTGTGTAAAGCGCCATCAAACAAACATGCTGTGGAGTCCTACACCCTCAGGGGCCAAACACACACCACGAGGTTCTCCACTAAAACCTAATTTAAATACATCTTTCTAATGAGTCTCCCTGTGTTAATTGGTCAATTGTCTTTTGCTACATGACAAAAGTTGTCCTTTATATAAACTTGACCATAAGCTCATAGTATGCAGTTGCTTGCAGATCAATATTGTAGTAGGAGGTGTGCATTTGGATGTCAGTCAACAAACATTTCTGCTTTTCCAAAAGTACATATTTATGCTCCAACTTCACAACACAGGTGTAAAGATTTTGTTGCTCGACCGCTTCTAATTCAATCGAAATTGAAAGTAGTTTCAGTTACAGTAGAGCTGCAGTTAATCAGTCAGCCGATGGAGAGAAAACTAACAAGCAACGGTTTCATTTTTAGGCAAAAATTTCATGATTTTTCTGTTTTGCAAACCGAGTACGGTTGGGTTACGGAGGAGGCTATCCTGGTAGATGAATCCAGCCATGAATCTTGGGAAAGTTAATCCCACATTCATCAGTTAGGTGCCAGCCTCATTGTAATCCTCCTCCTCAGTTAGAAGGAGCGTTGCTGCAAAAACCGAGACAGCCCAGGTCAACGAAGGATGAAGATGGAGACCAGATTGCACACAGGCAGACGGGTATTCAATCTCTTTTTGAATTGGTAAAAGTT